TTTCTTAGCCTTGGGGGGAACAGGCGGCATGCTGCGGCCTCCTGCAAGAAGGGGCGGATTCCTGTTCCACCTGTTGAAGCGCTTGTTCAGCTCTGTGTCTGAGCTCTCAATGATGAGGAAGGTGCTTCGCCAGTCCTTCCATTTGTTTGCTTTACCTCTCGTCATGAGGTAGCCCCTGTGGCTCGTCAATTGATACCAGCCGGTACCGCCTGCCTTAGGGGTCCGGCTGAGGTAGTTCATGTGGGCGAAAGCCTCGAAGCTCGGCTCCACCCCCGTGCAGTTCGCACCCGGCCACATAGCCGAGTACGTTGACCCAGGAGTTCGGGGCTAACTGCCATAACCCCAACTCATACCCATCCAAGATCCGTTGAACAGCTGGATGTAGTGGGAAGCGCAGCCCAGCCTTGATGGCCGCCTCGTAGCAGCCAAAGCAGGCGCCATCATAACTGGTACCAGCCGGCCATACGACTGTGTCTTCTGGATCCGGCACGAACACTAAAAAGTCGGGGCCCATTGTGTGGTTTGCGATAAAGCTCTCCACTTTCTCTTGCATGGCCGTGATCCGGCCCCGAGGTACCGTGCAGTAGTAGGGGGTATTTTGCTCTCGGTGAGAGGCGGATGGCTCCGCCCAATCGTCCCCCTTCTCAACTGCGTGAGAAAGCCTCGCCTCTTGTAGGCGACTGTTTTTCTCTTCTGTGTCCAGGGAAGCATGGCCAGAAGAGCTAGACTCAGAATCGTCCTCTGACGAGTCCGAAGAGGACGACTCCTCCCCTCTCCCGGAGGGGCCCGCCTCCTCTCCTTTAAAAGGAGCAGGAGAGAATGTAGAATTGTCAACTGTAAAGTGGGAAGGGGTCACTTTGACTCCTCCCTCAGAACTGCCGGCTTTCAAGCCGCTTTGTTTCACTTCCACATCTGGCGCCTGGTCAGATGTTTCACTAATCGGCACCCTGTGGGAGGAGCCGTCTGAGTTTGAGATCCTGGCAGTCTTTTTTGTTCTGGCCATCATGCTCTGCATAGACACAGATACAGTCGGACTTTGTATAAAGGGCAAAGATGGGTCCAGAAAAGGGCAGGCGGCACTCCTAGTCCTAGATTCAGCCGTCCCCGGTGACCGGCTGATCACTAACCTAGGTCGTGTCGTGTGCTTCCGTGGTGCCATTTCAAAAAAGAATAAAGTAAGAGAAAATTAAGAGTAAGAGAACCGACGGTTACCTGAACGAGTGACGATTGATGAAGTTCTGAAAATCCTTTGCAGTCGGCTTGTCAGAGCAGGCGGTAGGCAGAAAGGGTCCAAAATGTCAGAGCAAGTTCAGGGGTCCGAATGTTCTCTCACAAAGTTTTCAAGTGTGAAAATGACCGAAGTCAACACTCTTTTATATAGGCGAAGTGAGAAGGCGAAGGGTCACTTCCAGAATTCAAAATTTTGGCGGGAGAATCTCTCGGCCTCTCGCCGAGTGACACCTGTAGCAGGTCGTCGCCTGTTACAGGGCGATACCTGTCACAGGTAACACGTGACCAGTCACGTGCCACCTGTGAGGGGCAAATGATTAGGGGATTTTTCCCCACCAATCACCATCTGACAAGTGGACCAATCAGGTTCCGCCATGGGTCCGTCACATGGGCCAATAGGAGCCTGCCACGTGTCAAGCAGTGATCCGTCCACTATGGACCAATTACGACACGACACGTGTCCTTCCCATGACACCTGGGATAACCGGTCACCTAGGCCCAACTTCCGAGGGAAGCCCAATCAGCCCAAGGTTAACCTAAACCTAGATTGACACGTTTCCCGAGGTTATAAATACCTCCCTTAATCCCCATTAAGGGAGATAACGCTAAAAACGCAGATTACACACATTAAACACTCTCACCTAGAGAGACCCAATCACTTTAATTTCCGCATTAATTACTCCTTAATCAAGTACTAACTTGACCGTCGGAGGCGGATCTCCAATCATCCGGAGCATCCGTTTGTTTTGCAGGTACAGGCGTCCGGTTCCAGTCTCGGAATTGTAACTCTCCCGCAGGACATCAGAAAACCCCGAAACAATAGATATATTGAAACTACAAATTGAGAGGAATCAAATAAAATCTCACATGAATATATTTTTCTTAATGTATAAATAACTAAAGTAATAAAAAGTTCAAGTGGTTAGAGCTCCCCTCCTAATTTCATATGATTCTTGGATCAATCGATTCTCATCGCCCTTGTGGCTCTCTAAACACCAAAAAAAAAAAAAAAAAAAAAAAAATTAAAAAGGAAATTCGGTGAATAGTGTAAAACTAAAGATGGGAGCAATTACTAAAGAAAAACCTAGAAAGTTGTAAGGTAGATATTGATATGATGAAGTTGTATTGAGAGGAAAGAACATACAACTTACTCAGGTACTGTAGCATTTAGGCTCGAGTAATGTCCCTATTGTCATAGTGGTTACATGGTGCTTACAACTTTACATTTAATTCACCATGACTCAATTTTCTCTTATTCACCCAATTGGTCTCTTTATAAAAAAATAATATGTAGAATAAAAAAATGTACATTGTTTATTACTCGTATTATATAGCTTCTATTGAACTCCACTTAAGCCCCATTGTAGATACTCTAAATTGGTGGTTAGTCAGTGGTAAATTTCTCATATTTTATTATTTTAAATTCGTCTACACATGTTATTATCACTTTTTCACGTTAATATATATATCTCTCTCTATGGGTTTTTTTTTTTTTTTTTGGATATTGAGGGGTATAGGCTCCGATAAACAGGGAAATAAACAAACAAAAATTAATTAGTGATTACACATAGCATAGCAACACCCACTAGGTTTTCATGGAGAATACGTCCAAGTTAGATAGGAGAAACTTAATTGCCACACTTGAATCTTTTGAGCTAAGTTCACCCCTTAATTTGCCAGATTGTCTTCCCTGTAACAAAGGAGGAATTTTACTTCCCAACCATTCTCCTAAATTAATCTTTGACAGTTGTGGACAATATGGACACATTCTCATCCTAATGCTCCATTACTTGAAGTGCTCGAATTGCCAAATGATTATCCATTTGGATCATTAGGTGTTTGACCCCAAATTTGAAGGCAACATCGATCAATGCCTATCTCAATAGCCTTTAGTTCAGCTTTATGTAATGAACATGAAACAAAGTTTGATGTAAAGGCAATCTACATCTTCCTCGATCTATTCATCTCGAATAATCCCCCCCCCCCCCCTCCTGCTGGCGTCGGTCCATCAGTATTAAGGACAAACCATCCTCAGTGTTGGTTTATGTACACTACTTCTTGTATTCTTCTTAATTGGGTTATTTAACGAACTCACCATGAATAATGTCATCTTTTTACTAAAGTCGTCCAACTTTCCTCTAACCGATTCGGTAAGAAGCTATCAATATCATAGGAGATGTTGTTACCTCTAACAAAGATAACAATTTCTCCATTATTTCCAAAACCACCATATATTGATTGCAAAATAGGTAGGCTATACCTCATTTTCTTGTTTCGTCCCTTGGTGAGGAAATTAAAACTGATTTTCTGATGCAACCATTCTTGAAGATTTCCTATCTTAAAACGATTATATATGATTTCCTAGACGTACCACTAACATGTGCATAAATCACCAGCATTAGGGTCTTCTCTAGGCCCATATCCGTGAACTTAAAATCTCTCTTTTATGTTTGTAGCAATCTTAAAAAAAAAAATTCATGTAGAATGAATTAGGACTTTTGTCAAGTTGTAAAAAACTACCTAATAAAAGATAAAATGTTGTAAGAAACTAGTTAATAAAAGGTAAAATGTTGTAAAATACTACCTTTGTCGGATTTCCATCGTTGACCCACCTCAAAACAACCCCAAGACCACCGCTTTCATCCCCAAAACTAACACAACTTGCTTGAAATTGCCTCCACCATGCCAAAACCGCCCTCCAACCCAAAACCACCACCTCTAACCCTGAAAACCACCATCCTGGAGCACTAAACTACCCTCACCAACTCGAAATATCCTCCAACCACCCTGAAATAACCTTACCACCTTGAAAACTAACCCCCGTGGTGGTTTTAGGGATGTTTTGAGGTTGGTCAACACCGTAAACTTAGGTCAACGATGGAAGTTCGGCCAAAGGTAGTATCTTACAACATTTTACTTTGTATTAGGTAGTTTCTTATAACATTTTTTTTATTAGGTAATTTTTCACAAAATTTAGGTTTTATGAGGTAGTTTATGACAAAAAAAAAAATCCAATGAATTATTATTATTATAATAGTAAAGAAAAAGAAACATTGTTAGAAAACCTTCTTGGGATAGGAATTCCTAACGCATTTGGAAGAGAGAATGGAAACAAGACTATAGTTATTACAAGGGACAATGTTCATGTTGTTACTAATCAGGTGCAGTGGCCAACATACTCTTGCGATCTAATCAGTCGCTCTATTTAATTTGCCTCTTGATAAATATGATGAATGCTCTAGGTATCAAAATTGAGAAAGTTAAGAAGCGACTGAATGTCTATGATGGTATGCTCGATCTGTCATGGACGGGACCAAGTACTACCCTTGATTGAGTTAACAACTAAGAGATTGCACAAGACATTAGTGATCGATGTCTAGGTTGAAAGTGTTGGCATGGATGAGAGAACCACCGTTAGCGGTCTCTAATGATCGCTCTTGCTGATGTTGAATTGTGAAAGATGTACCAATACTAACATAAACATATACTTTGTTCAACAATGCAAGCTACCAAATTTTTTGCATTTATCTTTGCTAATATCATGTATTTATGTCGTGTCCAATATCAATTAAAATTACCTTTAATAAAAACCACTTATTCAAGTACATATCTCCAAAATAACATAAAATTGCAAACCATTGTCATACAAAAAATTGATACGGAGTAACACTTTTATTTCACAATCCTAAAATAAAATACGTGACATTGTAACCATTCCTTCATGGAGCGAGTATGTCGGCCAATCAGTCCCTCACTCTACAGTCCACACTAGTCTCAATTTTCTCAAATATATTTAGCAAAATATTTGAAGCCTTACAAAATTTGATCAATAGGTCCAAATACAAACAAAAACACCCATGTTCACCAAATTCCCCTCAATTTTTTCTTCCCAATAACAAAAAATGACGATTCTCTCAACTCCACCACCTTCCATCTTCTTCCCCAATTCCTCAATCCTCCATTACAACCATAACCAATTCTCTTCTTTCTCTCTCCTCCCTTCTCAAAACCCACTTCTTTCTCTCTCCTCCACGCGTCCTTCTTCCAGAACCTTCTTATCCTCCCGTTCTTCCGCTTCTTCCTCCGATGAAGACGATGAATGGGGCCCAGACCCAAAGCCCAAGCCCAACCCTTCTGCCTCCGTGAACCCACCTGAGCTCAATGTTTCCATCACAGTTTCCGACGAATGGGGCGAGAAATCTGGGCCTGAGCCCAAGACTGAGTCCAGGTTCGCCGACTCTGACCCGCCCATTCGCGAGGATGAAGATGAGTGGGGCCGTCTTGCAATTGATGGCGAAGAGATTAAGGAGAGAGAAACTAATGGTAGTAGTAGTAGTTGGGTGAACAAGAATTGGGAGCTGAAGAGGTGTTTGTTGGATTCTCTTTATGGGTCGGAACTCGGGTTTCGGGCCTCGGCTGAGGTTCGGGCTGAGGTATCGGAGCTTGTTAATCAACTCGAGGCGGCGAACCCGAATCCTAACCCGACTGAGGTTCCGGGGTTGCTTGATGGCAATTGGGTTTTGGTGTAAGCTTTTCTATGTTCTTTTCTTGTTGTTTGATTTTAGTTCTTAATATGTTATGCTTACTTTGATGTTTATTGAATGGATTGTTGTTTTAATTTATAGGGAAGATTATCTTGTAGTTTAATTTAGGGTGCTAAGTGGAAAATGGGAATTTGTTGTGTGCCTATATTTGGGTTGTTTTGTTAATGTTATACTAGTCACGTACACTTTTTTGGGATGCTCGGAAAAAGAGATGATATGCTTGTTAGGATAGTAGTGAATTGTGATTGGATTTTTCGAAGTGCTCCTCAATTAGAATGAGTGATGGGGAGAATTATGCAACCATATAAAGGGTATTGCAATGAATGAAGTTATATCCTTCAATATAAAGGAGTAGGGTTAATGTGATAATCATGTATGGAACAAAGGAGTATGACTACTGACTCGCACACTGGTGAGGTTCCATACTAAACCATGAAGTAACCCTCTAACCTTATTGGCTAGTCACCATCCTAATTCCTAATAATATTATGATGTTGGGCAATATTTCTTCACAAATGGGAAATTCCCAACATAAAGAAGCACTAGGGATAAGATAGAGTATTAATAGCCATTTATTGTTATTGGTTGCCATTTTCCTTCAGAATTTTATTCTGTTGAAATATTTTGATGGAAAATTATGGTAGAACAGTGGAAGAGAGTTGGTGCATTAACAAGGAAATGTTGTCTTGAATCAGCCACGATTGTATGTTACTAAGTGCCAATTTTGTAAGAAGTTATAACTGGCCCTTTATTGTGTGTGTGATATTCTTGTGTTCAATGAACCTTTAGATGTTAAGATAGTTTATAGCAAATTAACAACATAAAACTCCAGAAAATAAGAGATCACATATTCACATGCTATAAAGTTGAAGAATATATTGACATCTGATGCATATTATCATAAACATCCTTTGATATTAACAATCATCATCTGGGGTTTTGTCTGAGCTATGACAGGAAATTTTATTCATCCTCTTTACCGTGCATCATCTATCATTTTCTCTGTATTTTATCAGGTACACAGCCTTTTCTGAGTTGTTGCCTCTTCTTGCTGTTGGATCTACACCGTTGCTAAAAGTTCAACAAATATGCCAAGCCATTAGCACCACCAGCCAAACTGTGGAGAATTCAACCACATTGTCCAGTCCTTTTGCAACGTTCTCATTTAGTGCAACAGCCAAATTTGACATTAGTAGTCCTTCAAGGATACAGGTAAATGAACAAACCTTTTATTTAGTGGTATGATGAATGTTGCTTGCACATGGTCTGGGTTATATATGAAGTCGAGTTAACAGCCTTGTCGCTCAAATCAATACCTTGTGTTGTGGAGCCACTTTCAGTTGTTTACTTGTGTATCTAATGTTACTGTTATGGGATTGCATTCTTTTCATCATAATGAATCCAAAAAATGTGTTCATGTAATCACATGTATTGCTCAAATGCTCGGTGCTGTAGGCACAGTGCTTAATGACCATGTAGTTGTGCAATGAACCTTACCCCCGAAAAAATCAACGAAAATCCTAATGTAAAATCAGAATGATGTCATATCCTAACTGCAATTGCCTCCAATGAAATTGTTGTGTGGGTGGGTGTTTATTTTGCTGGTTGGAGCCTTGGAGAGGGGGTAGATGGTGCAGCCTTATCTATACAATTAATTGTGCGGACTCTTAGGCTCAGACCATTCAAGTGCTCCCTTTGCCTTTTGTAGTCCCACCATTTGTATTCAGTTATAATCATTACTATTATCAAAGATAAGCTTTTTTGAGGCTCCATGACTATGACGTTTAGATCTTGTGATTTGGAGATTGAGAGCTACACAATTGTAATTGTGTCAGATAGGGAATGAGTTTTAATATTCTATTTTTATATGTGGGGATTGCTGATTTTTGGGAGGAAATTGTGTATGTGCACACTGTGTTTTCCACTAAGCGATGGGGCTTGACCAAGAGATATGCTGGAATTGTAATTCTTTGGTTTCAAGTAAGAGATTTGAGTAGAGTAGGATTGAGATGGGTGGTAGTAGCTTCGATCTAGATTTTTGTATGGGTTCTGGGTTCTTCCCTTGATTTTTTGGAGTGTTTACTCTCTTTCTCTTTCTAATTTTCTCCCTATTCATGTTTTCTTGCGTAGATCATCAGTTTACTTTTACAATAGATTATATACTTGTATATACTTTAAAAAGGGAAATTCACTACCTACCCAACCCAAATTCATTCCTATTCCTTTTCTTCTCCATCTAATTACCCAACCTCGGCATAATCCCCACCCCATTGCAAACATACCGCCACCTCCATCTCCACCTAGCGTTATCTTACTTCTATGTGAATTACTCAATAGATAACCATTCTTTAAGGCTTTAAGGGACTTTATGAAAGCTTATAACCTTCCTTCTCAATAAACATTAGTTAATGACCGTCATTATTAGCCTAACTGCTGTAACACCTTTAGAATCTTTGACAATTTGGTTAAGCAAGTAGAAAGAATTGATCTTTTGTTTAGAATAGAAGTAAGGTTTGTCATATAGGTCAGAGACTAATTTTGGGGATCTACACTTCGACATTTCGTTGATTGCACTTGAAAGCCTTTACGGGCCTCGTGGGGCCCATGGGGTGAATCTGAAGGAGACTATGTTTGTAATTTGTTAAATTGACATTAAGGAAACAAAGTAGATGGTTCCAACCACATAGTGGCCTCTAAGGACCTCATGGGGTCCATGGGATGAATATTAAACCTTTTTTTTCTAGGTCCAAAAAAATAAAAATCCTCCAAAAGTAAGGTTAATCTATGCTTTTGGAACAATTTCGGTGACTTTGGGTTGCAGTGTCAAAATCCAAGTGATGGTGGAAGATTCATATAGGGTCATAAAATATAGTTTGGAATCACATATGCCTACTAGTCGGTCACATAAAGGCCTGTGGTGACTTTGAGTTAATGGCGGTAGTCATTTCTATAACCAGCTAAATTGAGGTATTAGAGGTAAAGTGGACGACTCCAACCACACAATTAGCCTCCCGGGTTTGGTGGGGTGCATGGAATTTATCTCGAATCCTTCAGGAAAATCCGATAATAATAAAAATAAAGAAGTCTAATTCACACTTTCGGGTGTCAAAAACTTAATTGATGATGACTGATGAGGGATAGATCTTGTGCCATTAAATTACATAAAGACCCTTTGTGACCTTGAATCAGTGATAGAAAGCATATTTTTAAAAGGTAAAGTGGACGATTCCAACCACTCTGGCCTCTTGGGATCTCGTGGGGTTTACGGAAAGTATCTCAACTCCTTTCTTTTCAAGGTCCAAAGATAGATTAAAGTTGTGTGTTGAAAAGTGTAATTCCCCACATTTTACAAATTTTTGAGGAGGAATTGTTATTTTATTTCAGAATTTGATTATTTTCTTTCAGTTGAGATGTTTAAATGGGGATTAACACTTTGTATGGATATCAAATAAGGAAGGAAAGGAAGGGGAGGGAAAGAAGGGGAAGGGAAGGGAAAAAAAAGGGAGGGGGAGGTGAGCTCCATTTTCCCTCCAAATCTCTCCAATTTTGGAGGGATTATGCTTATTAAAGAGAGAGGGAAAATGGATCCCTCCCTCTCCTTTCTCTTCCTTCCCCCAATCCTTTACCCAAACAAGAGAGTTTGTCCCCCTCCCTTTCTTTTCCTTCCATCTCCTTCTATCCAAACAAAGCGTAAATGTGCTAATCAGCTGGTTTCTGATATGCAGGTTCAATTTAAAGAAGCCACTTTTGAGCCTCCAAAGATTAAATCTCAATTTGATCTTCCAGAGAATATAAATGTGTTTGGACAAAATATTACCCTTTCTCCTGTGCAGCAGCTCCTGAATCCTGTTCAGGAGGCAGCAGCAAGTATTTCACGGTCATTATATGGCCTGCCACCTCTTAAGATTCCCATTCCAGGTGAACGCACTTCATCTTGGTTGCTATTCACATATGTCGATGAAGATTTTAGGATTTCAAGAGGAGATGGTGGCCTCTTTGTGCTTGTCAGAGAAGGGAGTCCGCTTCTTGACTAGAAGTGCAGATGTGCCGTTTTGGTGCAATTGAAGAGATATCTTGCTGTGCTGCGTTTGATACATTCTGTAAAGAGCTTACTTGTTTGTAATTGATTTTTCTTTAAGATGGCACATTCCTTTCTTTAGCTTTATCATAGATAAGTAGTACGAGTAAGATATTGAGCTCAAGACTGCTAATTGCCTGAAGAAATTTGTAACAGGCTAATGATTGTTTATCTTGCCACAACTACACTGTTATTTGAATAAAGCTTTACAAGTAATTTACAGATTTACATCGTTAAAGCAATGATTTACTATCCTATTTCATTTAATCTCTTCTCAATCCACCACATTGTTTTCAAGTATACTCTTATACAAGTTCAACGAAGAAGCAAGGGCGTTGCATCAAGAGTTTTGTTTCTGAGATGGTACTGCCCTCTAATATTATGGAATACATGACAATTACTTTCTTTGTTATTTTGCCTCTTCGTCATGTTTTTTAACTTCAAGATACCACCTAACACTAGACATACAATAACAAGTAACAATCTTGAGAAGCATATGCATTCATCATCTACCCCATTGAAGTATTAGTATTTTGCATGGCAATTGTAATTTCCAACAGAAAAGCAGCTGAAAGCCTGAAGCCCATTTATCCTACAAGTAAATTTGATAATGAAAAAATGTCGAGGTAAAAGAAATTTTTGAACAATATTTATAACATTGCTAACAGATATCAAAGGCTGTTCCCGTATACATACCCTAATGAAATTAGTATAATGAAGGCTGTGCTTACAGTCTTACAGAAAGATTACAAACAACCTTCACGAAAAAATTGAAAACAAAAGGAAAAAAAAATGAAGACAAATGAGATTAAGCCTTCTTCTTTTTGGATTTCAGCATTACAGATCCAATGAAGACGCTCAGAAAACAAAGAAGTGTAACACCAGCAAGAACAGGGATGATGATTGCATACTCCTGAGGTAAGAAATACTGGTGGATGAAGTGGTCGCTGTCAACAAATGGCTGCAATGATCCACGAAGAATTTTGTTATATAATATAAGCTCAAACAGACTAAATATGCAAAATTAATCAAATTTGAACTTACCAGAATGATAACCCAGAAAGTACAGTACGTGAATATTGATAAGCTGATACAGCACAGCAGAAAACCAACAGCCCTGTCAGCCAGCTCCATCAGTATATGCTCCTCAGTTGCAGCAACTATGTTCTATCTTCTCTGTAGTGAGCACTTGTTTCACAAAAGAAAATAAGCAGAAAGGTTAATTACACTAACATCATCCAATTTATCCAATCCAAATCGTCGACTTCCAAATATAGAAGAGAATCTGTGTGATCGAGTGTGAATGTCATTCAAATAACAGGAGGCATGTGGTGAAGAAATTGAATCAACCACACAACTCGAATAAACATGAAGCAAAATAAAAAAAAAAACACATCAAACTGAATTCCTTTTATTTATTCATGTATCTGATGATAGCCTACTATCAGATTTTCAAGCCTAAAAGCTGAAAAACACACTCTATCCTGACTACTTCATACGAGTACAAACAAAAACCGCTGCTAGTCTCAAGAACTCAATGGAAGCATGGAGCTAAATAATACATTATTATAAATGTAAAATTGTAAATACGAATCAACCCAATAAAAACGAACTTTGATTTGATGTAAATTTATAGTCTCCAGTTAAGATCAATCGAAAGCACATTCAAGTTTTTAACCATAGAACTAGATCGAATTGGGGAAAATTGAGGGTAATTTTGATTTTTTTTTTTCATAGTACTAAAATCCCTTAATTGTCGTCAATCATACAGATAGAAAAAGAAATTAGGAAACTTCAAGTCTTTAATTACAGAATTAGATCGAATTGTCAAGGATCGCATACAATTGATTATTGAAGATAAAATTAGGGTTTAGAGGAGAGACACTACCAATTGAGGGTAAAACTGTGATCCGTCTGAGATGATAGGAATGAGAATTGAGAATTTACAGCGTTCGGCAAGTGGGAATGAGAATTTGGGAATTAGATGATAGGAATGGAATTGAGAATTTAAAGCAATTTCCCTACTTGGCGAGTTAGTACCATATACTCCTGGAGTACTATGAATCATGGCACTCCATACCTAATATATGCTTGAGTTATTTTGTTTAAACTTTATGTTATTTTGCTTAGATCTTGTGTTAATTTACTAAAACAATATGCTATTTACTTATTTACTTTAACATCAGCTCGTGCTATTTTACATAAAATAACACGTACTTATTTAAGAAAAACATATACTTCCTCTGTTTTAGTAATATTGCAACAACTAGACTTTTGCACTATTCATCATGCTTGTTTGAGCACAAATTATGATTTATACGTAAAGTAAAATAGTCATGTGAGGTCTTGTTAGATTCATCTTGTAAAATACTTTCACAATATCAACTTTTTATAATTTTTACTCTTATATAATTATAGATATTTAACATATAAAATGTGTTTTGGGATGCGTAATTTCATCCTTGTTGCAATATTTGTGGAATAGAGGAAGTATATAAATTGAAATAATAAGAAGTTCACATCAAAATAACATTAGCAAAGTTGAGTTTTAGGACATCGTGAAGAGAATTGAACACTTCAAGAGGTACTAAATTTCTAGTATGAACACATTTGAACCCTTAAATGGCTTCGAATCCACTGATTTCTGGGAAACCAGAAAATTGGAAAAAGAAAAGAGGAGAGAGAAAGTGTGTTTGATTTTGAGTTGGGGTAGCTGAGAGAAAGAGAGAGAGTGAGTGTGGGAGGTTGATTTATGGGAAACCCATAAAATTGGAAGAAGAAAAGAGGAAAGCGAAAGTGTGTTTGATTTTGAGTTGGAATAGCTGAGAGGAAGAGAGAGAGTGAGTGTGGGAGGAAGATGACCGAGAAAAAGGGCAATGAATTTATGGAGTACCATGTGCCAGAAGTAAGATAGAAATTGCGTGTTTGGCTAGTGATGAGAATAAGTTGGGAATATACTACCTCCGATTCTTATTATTCGCAACAAAGGAATATTTTATGTATCACATAATACCCCTTTGTTGCGAGTAATAAGAACCGGAGGTAGTATAACAAACAAATTTACTGATATAGTCTTATTAAGACCAAATTAGAAAATAACACCTGCTAAAGACCCCGATTTTGTTTTTTTAACACCTGTTAAAAAAAAAGTTTTATTATAACGCCTCCAAAAATCCCAAAATTTTGGTTTCACCACCCACTAACGGATTTTTGGATGGAAACCGTTAGTGGGGCTCATTAGGGACACGTGTTAATAAGGTATTGGCTTAAATAAAAGATAAATAAAAATAAAAAGTAAAATTAAAAAAAAAAAAAAAAAAAACCCTAAATCCTAACCCAGCCACCAGCCCCACCACCGGCGGACGTCACTCCACCGCCGGAGACCCCCACTGCCGCCGGAATACCTTCCTTCACCGGCACAACATCACCACCACCGTCGCCCCATCACCACAACAACTGCCGAAGCGCCGAAATCCAAGCCCCAACACCAGCCCCAACCCACTTGCCGGAGAAAACCATGCCCAATTCCACCCGTAGCCCTGCCAGATCCAGTTGCGACCTCACCCCTTGCTGGCGACGCGAAACCATGAACCTTAAACTAGCGAAAAGGATTGTTGGTGGCCAGTGTGGTTTCGACGGAGGGAGATCGGGAAAAGGAGGTGGTGGTGGCGACTTTTCCTTTTCGTTGGTGTAGGGATCGTGGTTTCGACGGTAAAGGAGGGGCTGTGGTGGGTGGGGTTGATGGCCAGCGATTTCGCCGGTGAAGGAAAAGGTTCCGGCGACACTGGGGGTCTCCGGCGGTGGAGTCACGGCGCCGGTGGCTGGGTTAGAGTTTAGGAATTTTTCTCTTTTTTTTTTGTATTTTTCTTTTTTTAAAACCAATAAACAACTGACACGTGTCCCTAGTGGGCCCCATTAACGGTTTCCATCCAAAAGTCCGTTAGTGGGTGGTGAAACCAAAATTTTGGGATTTTTGGAGGTGTTATAATAAAAAAAAAATTTAACAGGTGTTAAAAACAAAATCGGGGTTTTCAGCAGGTGTTATTTTCTAATTTGGCCTCTTATTAATATTTTTTTTCCTTTCTTATCATTAAGGGTAAATTTGTCTTTCTTAGTTAAAAACGATTATCAATCTTAATACCTGACCCTCCCTAGTACTAAAATAGGGAGTTTTTGTAAATTGGGATAAAAATTCCCATCCCCACCCAAACTCCTACCAAACGCCCCCTTATTTGTTAGATAGATAAAAAAAATTGTGACGGTGGAGTTAACCCATTTAAATTAGAATTAGGATTACATTCGCATTAGCATTATCTCAAGTTTGTTTCCATAAATAAAACGGTTTAGAGTATTATAAATAGACCCAAATATTTGAGTTTTCTCACTCAACAACAATATTTTTCTTTTGTCACCGTTTGATAATTGAGAGTATTTTCAACTAGCTTCTAGCTAAGAATCATCAATCGCAATAATGATGATATCTTTTAGACTTTTTGGAGAAGACATTTTTATAGGAAGAAAAAGTGATGACAATGTCAACAAGGTCATCAACCCTGAAGAAGCATGTAGTAGTAATAGTAATGATACTATCACTACGATTAAACTTTTTGGAAAAGACATTTATGTAGGAAGAAAAAGTCAAGAAGCATGTAGTAGTAATAGTACTAATGCCACTATTATTACTAATAATTCTCTTATTATACATGAAGAAAATCAAGAAAGGGTACGAAAGAGAGGTCGTTCTTCGGAACAAGGCCATAATAAGTCATCAAAGGTACCAAAGAAGCAAAAAAATCATGACAACGTCAATAAGGTTATCATCCCTGAAAAAGCATGTAGTAGTAGTAATGCTACTACTAATAATAATTCTCTTATTATACATGAAGAAAATCAAGAAAAAGAAGCATGTAGTAGTAGTAATGCTACTAATACTAATAATTCTCATATTATACATCAAGAAAATAAAGCATGTAGCAGTAGTAACGCTACTAATACTCTTATTATACGTCAAGAAAATCAAGAAAGGGTACTAAAGAGAGGTCGTTCTTCGGAACAAGGCCATAACAAGTCATCAAGGGTACCAAAGAAGCAAAAAAATCCAGGGCCGAGCAAAGAAGAAAAGAAAAAGGCAAAATTTAAACCCCCGAATCTTCCAAGTGAACTCGTAGAGAAAGCAATGGGCATGGGAGGTGGTCGCGGCGAGGTGCCTAAGCTTGTAATGCAAAAATACATTACTGCTTCGGATGTGAAAAGGCAACAAAATCGATTGTTGCTTACTAAGACTGACATGCGCGAGCATAATGGACTTGTTTTAACCGATGAAGAAAAGAGAGAGTTGAAAGAAGGCGGCGATATTAAGGTGACTTTAATACTGCAAAACAAAGAAGAGATGGAGCTAAATCTATCAATGTGGCCAAAGAATACGGATGAGAAAAAGACTCTGGTGCTGCAAAGTTGTTGGTGGGATGTGACAAACAAAATTAATCTCAAACATGGTGATGTTGCTCAATTATGGTCGTTTAGGTTTGGACAAGAAAGAAAGATTGCCTTTGTTTTCCTCCAAGTTGTTAACGACAATAACCAACTTAATAATGCAGTTACTATAGCTTAATTAGCTATTGATATTCTTCTATTAGAGGGTAAGACTTAAAAATAAAAGAGGGAGGGTTGTTTAATGCAACTAGTTAATGTTGCTATTGCTATTCTATTATTACTTACATCAAGGCTAGGATTTATTTCTTTTAGGGTGAAGTTTAAGGGAGTGGCCGATACTCCTATGAAGTTCACCGTAGACTATCGAGAATTTTCCGGCAACTAGTGCTGCCATTATTAGGTTGTTTTTATCTTTTTCTAATTTTAATAGGCTGTACTCTTTATGATAATAAGCATTTTCTCATTGTTTAAATTTGCTTTTGTTTCATACTTTCATATCCCTTTTATTCACAATGGAATCATGCAAGGTTTAAGCTTAAGGATACACAAAATTGACATCATGTTCACAGATTCGATGAAATTGAATCCGATGTTAACACCACCTAATTACAGTAATTTTCTGAGACAGCGATTCACTGGGATAAAAACAATAAACAAACAGGAAGAAAGAAAAAAAAAAAAAAGAGTTTCTATCTCTAACTTTATGACATTGGCCACAAGATGTCCAAGTCCAACAGACTTCAGCAGATTATCAACATAGAAGAGGAAGAATAAAGGCTGATCAAAGAGGCTAATGCTGTTGCATCCACAGCCTGATATCCTCTCTAATGACCCTTCCATATCCCAAACTTCCACTGCTTGGTGCCAACAATTGAGGGCCACTGAGGAAAAGTTGCCTGTACTGGGAGCCAACGGACTTCGGATGCCGCGCCATGATTGTGATGGAGGGAAAAGCTGTAGACCATGTAGGTCTAGTAGCAGAAAACAGATGCCTATCAGAACCCTTTTCAGAACTCCTGGTGCTGAATTTCTGGGTGTTGCCATCGTTTTTCTGGTGATAGTCCGATTGCTTAGTCATGGTAGTGCCTTGGTTGTGATTTCCCGGAGGCAACTCGTGGGGTGCACCACGGATATTGGCTGATGGTTTCATCTTGTCGAGCCATCTGAGGATCCAGTTCCCAACATTTCGACCTACTTGTATGTCTCTATCTTGAATGTTCCGATGAACCCTTAGCGCTACATCAAATACAGCTCGCGTTCGTCTGAATAAAATACAATAATTTAGAATTCTTACAACCAAGTTAGCAGCAGATAAGTGACATCACCCTAGACTTTAGTAATACTATTTGAAAAGTAGCCTGGCAGGGGAAAATCTTCAAACTTAATCTAACATAATGCACTCTCAAAAACTTCTACTGGGTAATCCTCACCAATTCTTCATTTACCAACAGCCCACTTAAATACTTAGGGAAAACTTGAAGACACCATTCAACTTCAGCAAAATAACCCATTTATCAACATTGTTTGCTTGACATACTATTGTAACAATTTAACTAGAGCAGTATGATGGTTTTTGAGAAATTATTAGCACCAAATGAGCAAATGAAAATCCCAAGAAAACTGAAACCATAGAAGAATAAACAAGAGCACATTAACAGTATCAACATGATCTTAGTTCTAACAAAATTGTTTCCTCGGAGTAGAGGATGAATTTCGCAATGATCTAGGGTAAAAAAGCTCCTTTTGTCCACAACTATGTTGATAAATATGGCATTTTACATAAAGGAAATGTTGCACCTGCACTTGTTTCTTTATTTCAAGATCATAAGATAAGAAATAATGACCCATAACATGAAGTCATATTCCCAAGTGAGCCTCAAAATAGAATTTGATGAAAAATTGAAGCTATGAAAAGTTCTTCAAGAAATTAAAAACCAAATATTCACAAACAAACAGACTAGACTAAACTACAGCACCCTAAATGGAATCCACTCAGGTACATATTCCATTTAGAAATGATCAACCCTTCAAAGAATATATTGTTTTTCAACTTGAATGAGCAAACAGAAGAAGAAAATTCCTAAAAGACAGAATATAAGAAGAAGCAAATCAGTAAATCACTAACTGGTTCACATTCTCTAGACTCTGGTTGCAACTTGCAAGTACTACGTTCATAGTAGAGCTAGGCAAGTAAAATGTAGACTGGTTGCAACTTGCAACTTGCAACTTGCAACTTGCAAATGAAAAAAAAGTAAGGTATGAGGAAAATATTTTAAGCTAGCAGCGTCTTTGCAAAAGGTATAAAGATGACGATCTTTGATGGACAATTGGAACAAAGTACTCAGCATACCTCTACCAGCAAGACAGATTCTCGGTCTGAAGGGAACGTTAAGGGTCTTTCAGCAGGCTTTTCATCCATTATAATGCATTGTCTCAATATTCTGACATGCTCATAGACGTGCTTATCTAGATTCAAGATATCAGAGATTCAGAGATGCAGCTCAGAGTGGTTATCATAAATGTACTCATTTTTTTGACAGCGAAGTAATTCAAGCAAACATGTCTCATTCCTTGTATACACTACCTCCATTAGCTCTCTAAGCATCAAAGACAAACATGCTAAAACACCAAAGCCCAAAGGACTTGGTGTGGATTCCAGCAACAACAAATCTCCTAAGGCTCCAATGACTAACAAAATAGTGTTTTACATAGCAGAGATATCTCTTGCTACGCCTGCTTATCTATTGCTATGCCTGCTCTGCCGCAGTTTGCAGCAAGCAATGGATTATCAAACAGCATGTAATTATGCACCAAAATACACTCATATTGCAATTGGTGGACAGCAAAACCCAGGGCTGTGCAATATAAAATCCTATCTTAGTTACTAAAGACAAAATATCAGCAATCCAGCATCAAAGTAAGCTAGTTTTGGCATTTCAAACATTTTCTTACCCTCTAGTCCTCTACGTGAATCCCATTATTGATTGTTTACTTCAGATAGAGGGTGAAACCCACTTCAAAGGTATTGCGACCATGATCTCATTGTCTTATGATTTACTACACTGCTGATGACCAAAAGTGCAGTAGGTCCATAATGCAAACTGTATAAACTTGTCTACCAACCTGCCTCCATCACTTTAGCCTTAGAGGACCAACATTCCGAGATCTAGAGAAATAGATTGGTTTCAAACACTTCCTGAAAATCCCTGTAACCAATTTCCTAGCCCAACCAACTTCATTCATGTAATGCTTTTTTACTTTCTTCATTGCATGAGATACATGAACCATATCCTCCGCATCCAACGGTAACCTAAACTTCATTTTACTAAAGGGTTCTCATATTAATTGCAAAGGATTGATCCTTACAGTTACTATGGATGTATTAGCTCCATCACACGAGTTGACACATCACTTCACTATTTGGACTATATATTTACCTAATCTAGAACTAATCTATTTCCAATTGGAGCATTGATAATTTGATAGGCAACATTATAACAAAATGTTGCAAAGTTTCTACATGAGAATCGTTTGCAAATCGGCAAATTCGTCACTAGGTTTATGGCTTCATACATTATTTAATCTTATTATTGTATACCTTCTTCACATAATTAATGGTCCAAAGAGCTAAGCAAATAAACATATCAAACAAACAAACAAGAAGAAAAACAAAAAAAGTTAAAATTAAACTAGAGAATATTCTTTTATTCATCACTGGTTAACAAGAAACCTGGAGCATATTCTAAATCAAACCCAAATTGCAACCATCGCCTAATTAACCTCATAAAAGAACTACAATGAACCCTAAAACTTCCGCTAAAATCCCAAATCAACAACATTCAACACCAATTCTCAAAAAATAAAAAATCAATCCAACATTACACAGTATAATAAGTAGCAGATTATCACTAATTTCACAGATTGTAATGTCTTATGATCATACAAATAATCACATTTTGTCAATAAGAATTAAAAGGCATAAGAAGAAAGTATAAAAATGAAGAAAAAGAAAGAAACCTTTGAGCAAAATTACGAATCTTAAGATGTTTATGCGAGATAAGACGACGTTGAATCTTCAAAGCAAGTCTATAAGTTCGTTTCAATCCCAAGAAATAAGCCGTCGCTAATGTTATCTCCCATAACACCATTTCTGGTTTTCTATATCTTTCTTCTCAAGTTTTCTGGGTTGATCGAAGAAGAAGAGTGAGATTTCTTGGTAACGTATTACTATTATAGCAACTTACAAGATCGTCAAAAGTACCGCCAGAAATTTCTTCCTCTTTTTTTTTTTTTTTTTTTCGGAAAAATTGGAGGCGCAGTTGGTTTTTATATGGTCTGTACTCAGAAAAATGGAGGTCTTGGTCTTGTTATTTTGGATTATAAAATTACTCCACCTGTTGGGCCTAATTGGGCTGGTACTGTATTGATAGATTGGGCTTTTATGTGTACCATGGATCATTTTTTTTAAAAGAATCAAACCCATAGTTCATCATTTCCTGGGTTACATTTTGATATCATATCTCATTGTTTCATTGTTTGATGATCCATAACATAGTAATAGTAACATCTAAAGAGTTATGAAGAAAGATGAGAGATTCCTCTAAAATAAAAACGGAGAGAGTATAAATTAATAGGCGTATGAGTTGTTGAAATTTTAGGTGTTGGGTGGGTGGATTCACGGTGAAACGAACTCACTCCATACTTTGTGAAATCTAAATTTTTTTTTTTTTTTTTCGGTGTTTAGAGAGCCACAAAGGCAAGTGATGAGATCGATCCCAGAATCACATAGAACCAAGAGGGAGCTCTAACCACTTGAGTTATCCCTCACTCTCGTGAAATCTAAATATTGGTTATATACGAGTATCATTTTTGAGTATGTTGCTCATGCCACAAGTTCTTCTTTATCCACAAAGAAAACAAAATAAAGTTTATTCTTCTCCAATAAGCTATGATGATAAAAGAAACCAGTAACCCACAATCTATCCAACTTTTGTAATCAAAGTGATGAATCGATTCAAAAATCAAAAGTTTTAAAAAATGTTGCAAAAGGTTAGCAAGCCATTGAGATTGAAGCTGATATATGTGTGGGAGGAAAGACCTTAATAAGCAATTTTTGTATTTTCAATTTGCTAATCTAACTTGCTAAGCTAGAATACGTGCGACACTCATGTGTAATCTAACTGGCGACACTCATGTGTAAAACGTAGCATACACTAATTTGTCAAGACAATTCATACTTTTTGAAGTCCTTTTAATAAAATTTGATTTTTGAACAGTATATTAAGAAAATTTGCCAAAACCTGTGTTTAAATACCTTCTTCTATAACTCAATCAATTTTCCCTAAAAATTCTCTATTAATATCTTCCCTCAGAAATTTATCATGACTAGACTTTTCTACGTTAACCTACTACTTCAAGCTTTGCATATGAGTAATGAGTTATGCAACGAACTCTATGTTACTATAAGAGTGAAAGTTGTTTGGCCAATAATATGTATAGATAAGATTAAATCTCATATTTTAGGTATCATCTGCAAAACTACATCCATTAAACTAGTTGTAGTTGAAATCTACCAACTACCGTTAAAAATGCTTAATTAATCTATCCGCAATCCCTAATCAACAAATCAATAATTGAGCTCTAGACTATTGTTGCATTTCACTCTCCCATACACTACGTACACAAGCTCCAACCATTCATAAAATGAAACGTAAAAGTGTAAAACGTTCATAACCATTGATAACTACATAAAAGTAAACACTCCCATCACACACTTCCAACGGTCACCCATCCTCAAAAATAAACAAACCGAAAAGCCAACGGTCACCGACGGATCGGATAAAATTGGGCTGACCACAAACCAACTTACTTTACCTCCACTTAATCTATATTAGGTTGGGCCTACCATTTTACTACCTAAAGTCACATGCAAATTACAATTATCACAAACGTTATTAAAAAAGGCTCTAATATCCTCCCTTCTACGACAAGCTTATGGGCCCGCCAAATGAAATGCCCTAATCCGTATTTCCACTTTTACTGTCTTTAATTTAATTAATTTTGACTTTTTACCAATTACTCTTGTTATTTACCATAAGTTAATTGAAATTACTTTAGATAATCATAGGTCATAATCTCATAATCAACTCAATTGATTCTTACCAAATCATAATCATTGATCATATTTGTAAGGATTGTAATATAGAGATAACCGTCTTTACTCCATTATGTTAAGAAATACTAGGAATGTCAAAAGATATATTTCCAAAAATAATATTTTATGCCGATTAATAAATATTCTTAATATATTCTCAATCAATTACGCGATACTAATTTTTACAACAAGAATCTATAATTGATATCATATTTAGCAAATAAAGTACACTTAACATTCTTTGAACTTCCGTTAAAAAAACACAAATGTTCAAAAACACCTGATTTACACTAACTTACTGTAAATCCGTGCTATAAAAGGAAACAATTTTCCTCCTTATTTGATTCGCACGTGCCAACTGATTTGGCAAAACAAAAACTTCTCTCGCTACCTAATTATTTAGACAACCACTTTCTCTCTCTTCTTCCTCATATCTCTTGCGATTTTCTTTCTCTTCAACCGTCGATTTTCTCTCTTCTCAGCCGGTGATTTTCGAGCTTTTTCTCTTTTCTCTTTCACTAGCGAAGTTGTTATTTGCTAAATTCAGGTTTGTTTATTTAAATTTTTGAGATTTTTGTAAGTTTAGTTGTTTTTATTCTTCAATTTTTAGGTTTTTTGATTTTTTTTTGTTTCGTTTTTTGTAGCGTTTGATTCTGCAATGGTGAAGAAGAAGAGTATAAAGAAGTCGTCAGATGTTGAAGGTGTGTTTTCTTAATTTTTTCATGATTTTTTCAGAATTTTCAACTCAATTTTCACTTATAAATGTGTTGTTATATGTCGAATTAGTAGTGCATGTTATTTTTAGAGTTTGCACTTGAATTTTTTTGCTTATTTTTTATGCAGATTATGATTGCTTATTAATTTTGAAGTTAATGTGTCTAATTTTGCTTTAATTTTTTGTTTATTGTATTTAATTGCTTAAAAATTGCTTATACATGTGTTGTTATATGTCAACCAACTTTTGCATGTTATTTTTCAGAATTTGCTCTTTGATTTTTTTGCTTTTTTTTAGGGAGATTATGATAATTGGAATTCAATTTTGAAATTAATGTGTTTTTTATGTAGTGTATGAGAATTTATAGGCAGCATGTCATTGTGTTTAGAAATCAAAGTAAAGGGGAGTAATATTATGTGGTATATGGGTCACTTATATGCATAAAAAGGGTAACATTTGTGCATACAAAGGGTAACTTTTTTGCATACAACCTGAATTTTCCCAAGAGTAATTTGTGAACTGGTAATTTGTGGTAATTTCTCTGTATTGATCATTATGCATAACTGATATTGGTGGTTCTATAGGTGGATATCGTTATAAATCGCCTTCACAAGGAAAAACAATGCCTAAAGAGTCTGCTAAGGCCAAAACAGTACCTAAGAAGGCGAAAACAGTGCCTGAAGAGTCTACTAAGGGTAAAATAGCACCTAAGAAGGCCAAAACAGTACCTAAGAAGGCGAAAATAGTGCTTGAAGAGTCTGCTAAGGGTAAAATAGCATCTAAGAAGGCCAGTGCCTGAAGAGTCTGCTAAGGTCAAAACAATACCTAAGAATGTCAAACCAGTACTTGATGTAAAGAAGAGAAAGAGGAGTTCTCAATTGGAATTGGTTTCTGATTCTGATTCTGATTCGGATACTTCAGCGTAAGAGAACATGTTTTCAATTATTCTTGATTTGCATTTTTTTAATTACATTTTGTTTATAGTCTATATTGTTTTAGTTACTTTTTTTTTTTAATTATTTAGGGACCAATGATGTTTGATTACAAGGTGTAGACCACATACCTTGGAAAATTTGGTGCAGAACTTTAGTAATAACAAAAATAAGTTGTTGTTGAAGTTGGTTTTGGCGGTTTGTTACATTTAAAATTAAAAACTCTCTGTCGTAAAATGCTACCTTGGCTTGTTGAAAAATTTAATGCTGGTAGCTGCATGTTTACCGTTGGTAGTGGTAAAGAATTTGTAGTTACTAGCAATGATGTATGTGATGTGTTTTGCTTGCCTATGGGTGATATTCCTGTTCCTGAACTCAAGAAAAATGCTAAAGTTGCAAGTGTAGACAACTGTATTATTCAAGCATGAAGATTTGATTTTGATGTTTCTGATAAGTAATCTATTCCTTTGTCAAAATTAAAGTCTCGGATTGGTTGATAAAGGGGTAGAATTTAAGAGGTTTTTTGTGGTTCATGCTATGTGTAGCTTTTTAGCTCCTACTCCTAATAGGACAGTTTCATTAAAGTTGCTAAAGGTTGTTAAAGAAGTTGGTGAAATAAAAACTTTTGATTGGTGTTCTTATGTTTTGAGGAATTAAAAAAAGTCTGTTGATAAGTATAACAATGATCTAACTATTCAAAGTGTTAGTGGATGTTTGCTGGTTTTGCAAATTCTGTATTTTCACCGTTTAAACTTTCAAGGAGAAAGGAAAGTTGTAGCCTTCCTTTGATTCAACATTGGACAGATGATAATGTTAAGAGTCAGATTACTTTAGAGGTTAAAGCTGGTGGTTTTGGGCAGGGGCCATTGGATACATCTACATATCCTTTGTCACAGTCTGCAATTAGCCAAACTGTTGTTAAGCAACCTCTTACTTTGGGATCTGATCAGTGTGGCTTAAAAGTTTGTGGTGCTTCTTCAAGTGGTACAATTGGCCTCTTTGTTCAATTTGAGCTTCCAGATGGTGTCATGACTGATGATAAAATCAAACATATTTCAACTGATGTAAGGTTTTTTTTTTTTTTTTTTTTTTTTTTTTTTTTTTTTTTTTTTTAATGTTTAGTACTTACCCTTTATGTGCACAAAAGTTACCCTTTATGTGCACTAAAGTTACCCTTTATGTTCAGTTTAAGTAACTTTTTCATTATTTTTCTTTGTTGTAGCAGTTTCTCAAACTCAACAATCACTCTCTGATCCTCATTATCATAAGCTTTTAGATGGTATAATTGCGGAGTGTATGAAGATGAAGTTTGCACATGAGTTGTTTCAATTTTGTGAAGAAGATGGTCCTGAACGTTGTAATAATGAAGATGTTCCTAGTCTGGTTATAATGAAGATGTTCTTGAACCTAATGAAAATGTTCCTGGAGCTAATAAAAGTGTTCCTGGACGTATTATTAGATCCAATAAATCTTTATGTTCACTAGACTGTGGGCCAGTACAAGGTGCCTTTTGTTACTCTTTTTATGAGGGGTAATGCTCGGATTTTCGACAGTTTGCCTCAGTTACATTTGGAAGTTCTTGATTATTCTTTGCTGAAGGATGAATCAATGCATAAAAAGTTAAGTGTCATTCTGTCATAAATATTCTTTTATCCGTTTTTTTTTTTTTTTTTTTTTTTTTTGCTTGAATTTTTTTTTTGAGCCCCAATCTGGTTATTGCATTTTGTTCCAAATGCCAGATACAAAGTCTATGCCTTGTATTATGAAGCACCTACATTCAAAATAAAAGGGTAACTTCATGCACTAAAAAGGGTCACTTTATGCACTAAAAAGGGTAACTTGTGTTTTGATGGTCAAATATTGTATGCTCTTAGAACTTATTAGTTAGGGTAAGATGTAAATATAAACTTTTTACCTGCTCAATTGCATTTGCCATTGCTTGGTCCTGGTCAGTGAATATTGAAGTTGGTGTTTTATCCTCCATAGCTTTCTTGAAAGTTTCTAGTAGCCACACAAACGATTCTGGTTTTTAATCCCCAATAAAAGCACATGCAAACATACAATTATGCTAGTGATTGTTTATGCCAACAAATGGAGCACATATAAGATTATATCAGTTGGTTTTGTATGTTGTATCAAAGACAAGCACATCTCCAAATATCCTATAGTCTTCCTCTTCAAAAGATATTGGAAATTCTTCCTTCATTGTCAAACTTCACTCTAAAAAAGAAGTTTGGATCCTCTAATTGTTCCTGATTTAAAATGTTCACTAAAGTTTGAGCATCTACAGCCTCAATCTGCTCCATTCTTAATCTTGAGCAGAAATTCAGGTGATCTACAACACTATGCCCTACATTATGTTCTCCTCCAGCTTCTGTAGCCATGTAATTATAAGTGTCCATTGTAGTCAGACCTGAAGATTTCATTGTTTTGATTGCTTCAGCTTTTTCTTCTGTCATTTTTCTTTCAGAACGATGCAAATAATGCCACTGTGACCTTGTTAACTCGTGGTTATGTTGTAATACATGTGCCACCACCTCAAACTGTCCTTCTTTATTTACTTTTGCTCTTCTGCATGCCTTGCCATCAGATTGTGTAATGGCTACTTGTCTTGGTTTTCTTGTTTTCACATTTACATTCTCTTCATCAATCATTTCAACTAATTTTGTTTTCTTGTCACCCGAATTTCTCTTTTCTTCTGCAGAACACACATAATTTTTCTCTAGAACTATCTTTGTGTGTGTGTGAAGTATCTTATGTATGCTTTCTTATTGAAAACCCCTGTATAGCAGCATGTTCTTCATACAATTCCAAAATTTCTTCAAAAGTTTCTCTTACAACTCCAACAAATGATCCTCTAAGATCTAAACCAGAAGCATCAATTGGATTTGCATCTATGATTTAATATAATAAGTATATGTTTTAGTATAATTTTTACACAACATTCATACCAAAGGATAACAACATGTTTGGGTAAAAACATAATCATAGTAATACTATGTTTTATATGGGTCACTTTTATGCATAAAAAGGGTAACATTTGTGCATACAAATGGTAACGTTTTTGCATACAAAAGGTACCAAAGGATAACAACATGTTTGGGGAAAAACACAATCATAGTAATACTATGTTTTATATGGGTCACTTTTATGCATAAAAAGGGTAACATTTGTAATAACAAAGGGTAACGTTTTTGCATGCAAAATGTACATTATCATTACAAAATATGCACATGACATTCATTGCTATCAACAGGTATAAGGTTACCTTCTACAAAATTCGAGCAATTTCATCTACGAATTTCTCTGTTTCATCTTCTACAAAATTTTCTATTAAGTATAAGGTTACCTTCAGTTGAATTGGATGATTGTGCGGTGCCACATTCTAATGTTTGAGGAACAACTTGATTTGTGCTTGCACTTTCTCTCTCCTCGTTCACTAATGGCGCTTGAATTTGTTTTTCCCCAAACATGCTGTTATCATCATCAATTTGAACAGTTTCATCTTCTATGATTGTGCGATTTAGGTCGAAATCACCTAACAATGGAGTTTCAATTTGCCTCTGTTTTTGTAGAAATTCGTGGATCAGATTACTGCAACTGGAGGTATTGAAATTCGCTGATGAATTCTCCATTGATGATCGAAGCCCTTAGGTACTCGTTTTTTGCGATTTCTCTCTACATGTTTTCACTTTTTCTCTCCTCATTTTTTTTTAGTGATTTCTAACTTTGAGGTCGATTTTCGCGTGTTTTTTTTTGGAATTAAATAAATAAATAAATAAATAAATGCTGGCACACGTGCCGCGCCGTCGGATTTACAATATTTTATTATAAACCGGGGGAATGCAAAACTTGTTGTAAAAAAAAAACATTCTTTGAACTTATTTTTATTGTGGGTGAATGTATGTTGTTTGAGCTTATCATAATAAATCAAGATAAGATTATGTCTAATTCAAGCTGTTAACTTATTTGAACTATTTTTGTCTAAAAATATCTTATTTTTGTGCGATTTCATGAAATTATTTGACAAAGCTAACTTTTCTAAACTCGTCTAAATTCTTTTTATCTTAGATAAGTCAGAATTAGATGATCAAACCGACTCTAAAACCTTCTTTATCTATTTGAAAATAATATAGTAGTAATTTAATACTACTCCTAATCATTTATCTATTAAAGAATTACCCTAATCAAATTGGTAAAATAATTTATGCCAATAATTTCGTATATTTTTTAAATGAAATAATAATAAACTCTGAAGTGGAAAGTGGAAAAAACCAAAAAGAAATGAATTTTGCGCTCTAAATAATGCGCTCCCCCAACTAAAACCTCGACTGAGACTCTCTCAGACCATTACCATCTCTCACACTCTCTCTCTCTCTCCAGCTATTCTCTTTCTCTCTCTTCCCTCATCTCTCTCTCTGCTCTAAACATGCAGCGGCAATCGTTAGGCTCTCCTGGCAGAGGAGCAATATTATCCAAAGACGACGCCGCTTCAATTTCCGATGACCTTAAACGATGCGAATCAATTCCGTCCTCACTTTCCGGCGACGACGACGAAATCAAGCCGGAAAAACCTCTCCGACGTCATTCTCAACCGGAGAAATTTGTTCATCTCATCCCTATCCTCATTCTTCTCTGCTTCTTCATCTTATATCTCTCCTCTCACGATCCTTCTACCAAAGGTAAATTCAATTTCATCTTCATTCTTCAATTATTCTTCCGATTAAACTATCGAAATTGACACTTTCGTCGTTTTGGTATTCTTTTGCAGAGTTGGCTCAGTTTAATCTGTTCAATCATCCAGAGAAATTCATAGGTAAAAATGCTGATGACTTCAAATATTCTTTTTGTATCAATTTAATATAATAAATAATTGAATTAATTGATTGATTGTTAAATTGTGTAGATTCGACCGACATTGACGACATTGGAAGAGCTGATAATAAATTCAAAGGAAACGGCGTATTTGCGATACGAAGCTTGCGGAATTTGCAAGAGGAAGTTCAAGATGACGACATTCCGAAATTACGTTCTCATCGGAAACTCGGCGATTTTTAGTCGCACGTGTGAAGAAGGAAGCTAGCTCATCGTCGATATTCCGCACGTATACACATCCCGGTAGAAAAATTCGCTGATTTTAATTTAATTTTTTAATTTAATTTAATGTTCAATTATTTGTTCCTTTTCATATATTCCAGAAAAAAAAAATGAAGCATAATGTAATTTGATACTACTGGTTATATAGGCAGTATTTCTGTACAAATAAAATTCGTCCTCTGCTTTCAATAAATATCTACATCTACCGACAAAAAAGTTATGGAAAATTATGAAAAAAATATGCTAAAATGCGCAATGTAGATAAAGTTGCGCCGGAGATGAGTGGTTGGAGTCCAGCTGGGGGGATGGAGCCGTTACTCTGATGACCTTGGAGTGCGGTTTAATGAGTTGGAGTTTGGGTCTGCCAACCTGGAAAGTTTTTTTAATCTTTTTTACGGATTTTAAGTACGGAGTAATTCTATTTTTACCGTGACTATTGAGCTTGCCCAGCCTTGTAGTGCTTGTAATTCCCACCCAATTTACTCGTCTTCATTTTCCTTCGTGTTCTTTTATTGATTAACTTTTGCATTATTCGTATATACTCATACTAATTTTGATTACAGGTGTCAAACTATCAACTCGGGTTTGATAAAGTCGGGTTGAGTCTAATTTCAAGTTTAAGTCGTGCTAAATTATTGTGTCTATGCAAGCCGAAATTTGAATGAAGATTTTTCGAGTTAATTTTGAATTGAGTCGGTTGGAGGTTTTGACACTTTTCCATGATCAAATTTTATATACTCCGTACTTTGTAGTAAATTTTCCTAACATAATACAGGACCATGTAACCAAAGATTATCAATGATTAAAAGTGTATTTACAAAGTATATAAGTTAAACTACTCCGTAATATTGTAATTTTAAGGAAACAGAAAAGGGAACATAACTCACAGAGGTGGTAGGGTTCCTTTCTGGAGGAAATCAGGTGTCCTCCCTAAAAAAAAGGGCAAAGCAAATAAAGTGAAGGTGATGTGATTTAATTAACAGTAGGTAAACACTTAATTTTACACACTGATATTTGTACAAATATGGGTTGGAAGTATATTGCATGGTGGAGATGTTACACTTAATAAACTATCCCAAATTACATTGGCATTTATTGGTGTATTGTCTTTAAAATTAGGTGAATGATAAATTTTGGTAATAAATTGTTGCCTTGTTGGTGTTAGTTCTGGTAAGATGGTTTAACGTTTTATTTTGATCTTAACTATTACCATTAGTTTGTTCTTTTGTAAATTATTACTTTATTCATAATCACCTTATTCACCTCTACTTCGTATTAAGTAGTGTCGGTTTTCTCCTTGTTTGGCCTAATTACGATTGCACCTTTTTTGTTCCCCTGTTTCTATCCTTCATGTAATCCTAATCGTTCATTTCATAATGATCAACTATATCATTGAACTCGAACTAATCAAGTTATACAATGCGAGTAGTACGTAAGAGTTTCATGGATTCCTTCTAACAAAAAAAAAAAAAAAAAAAAAATTGATCAAGAACCAAAAAAAAATAATTACTCTTTTTTTTTACCTCGTTTAATTGATTTTTTTTTTTTTTTTTTGGGTAGTATAAGCCTAACGATCTATAAGTCTATTTATGAACTAGTAAAATTCTTTCAATCATTTTCTCAGGGTGAAAATGGGTGAAACTGTGCATTCAACTTTTATTGATTCCTTTATCTTTTCTCTTTGTGACATCCAATTATTGATAAAAGAATGGAAGCAAAAGATTGATGGAATGATCAATGCTAAATATAAAAATAAATAATTAAATAAATTACAGATGGATGATGAAATTATCAATCAAGATAAAATAATAATTAAAAACTTAGCGATTAAGTAGTTCACAAGCCACCCAAGTGTCTTAATGCTCAACCCTTTGAAGTACGTGTATTATTCGATGAATACTTTTGTGGGGCCCTTTTCACTGTTTACTCACACTTTTCTTTCAAATTTCTTGTCTCACTGGTCTTGTTGTTCTTGCCCATTGTTTTCTTTGCATAATTGCTCTTATCTTCCATTAATTAATTTAATTTTATATATCTAAGGTATCATCAATCTATAGATTATATTCTTCTTGCTTAATAATTTGTATTCTTCTGTCTTCTTCTCAAAAAGAAAGGTCTTCTTCATTCTAGTAACTACCTTGCTTTGGCTAGTAGGACACAGAGTATATAGTTATATTATTCATCGATTAGGAATTGATTTTGATGCTCCCATTATGAGAAACAACGATTAAAATGTCGAAAATATTTTTCTCTATGAACCTTACATATGTCACTCGTTGAATTATCATCAAACTAAATATGTCACTTTGAATTATAAACTCTCAGTACTCGTATTTTTCAAGAAGTGGACCCTTTATATTGTGCAATGTGCTATGTACATGGTAGTATAAATATTTATGTTGTACGATCTGGTTACGGAATTATAAGTTTTGATTATTATAAATTCCAACCGACAGTCTTATTGATGTCATTTTTAGGACCAATTGTTTAGGGTAGAAATGTAGAATTCTAAATTAATACGAAGTATTGTACAAAGATAAGCACGGAATCATATACAAATACATGCATGGTGCAATACTGCAATGTACAAATACATGCCTTTAATTAGTCATGGCTCATGGGACATGCCGCTTACGCACTTCTTATTAAGTCACTGACCTCACTGCACTACAGTACCATACTACTACCTACCGTTAATTATTAATTGCTCATTTTTTTATTTTTTTTAAAATTCTACACCATAACCCTCAAGTATTAACTTTTTCAAGTTGTGCCCCCCTTTTGAAAATTACATATTGTAACTCTCAACTTACAATTATATCTCAATAGTGACCTTGCCGTTATCCTATTGTAACGGTAGTAACGTTTACCGTCAGTGGGACCCACTTTGCACTTTTTAATTTTTTTCTCGATTTGCGTGCTGAAAAATATCCCGTTAAAGGCTTTAAGGGTCATTTTAGCTCTTAAGGGTCCAAATTGAGCTTGGATTGACAAAAAAAAAACGTAAGAGCCCCGTTTTGTGAATTCTAAATTTAACTACGGAAATCCGAATTCACAAAATGGGGTTTTTATGTTCTTTTTTTGCAAAATCCGAGCTCAATTTGGACGCTTAAGGGTTAAAATGACCCCTAATGGAACATTTTTTTAGCACAAAAATCGAGAAGAAAAAAAATTAAATAGGTGTGAAGTGGGCCCCACTAACGACAACAAGTAACGGAAGGTTAACGGCAAGGTTATAGCGTAGTCAACAAATGAACCTTGAGGTTACAGTGTTGAATTTTTAAAAGGAGGGGGCACAACGTGGAAAAGTGAACACCTGAAGATTATTGTGTAGAATTTCCCTATTTTTTCTATCAAAACTCCACTTGTTTAATTGTAGAACTAAACTTGATTTTTTTGAGTTTAAGTTTCAATATAATTAATATAAAGTTGAGATTAATGAAAGTTATAAGCATATTGACACTTTGTTATGCTCAACTTAATTCCACTTCTTTAAGAAAATAAGTTCATAATAAAGTTGATAAATTTTTACATAGTATTAAGAGTAAAGACAGCTATAAGAAGAATATATTTATATAAAGAGCTATTCAATTTCAATTTACAATGTTACAATTTATACATTAAACTAAGCATTTATAAGTTGAGATAATTGAAAAGTGAATAAAACGAGTATTGGTTTCGTAATGACCCATTACCCTTTTGAACTGTAGAGCTAAATGAAGGTTGATACAACATTTATCACTTAGAAATTTAGAATGCAAATGTCAAATGTAACATTTATTGTCACTAACTCAGTACTGCTCTCTCAACGTTTTCAGCACGGTATGGGGACAATGTCAATAGTGTTTGGAATCTTCTGTAACAAACTACTTCCACCATCATTGTTTATTAATTACACATTGTCAATTTGTTTATAAACAATAATGCTTAATTATTTGCACTTTTTATATCATTAAATTATTAATTATTACTGAATTCGTGGGGGTAGTAATCTTATATTCCTGCGTTGGCCACGACAACAGGACGAATTTTACTGCTAGCTACTTGCCTACTTTGCAGTTAAAAATAGTAAGTTGGCATTAAAAGAGGTGACTTTACTGATGGAATTCATGGAAATACTCCGTAATCCGTATATACCTTGTTTTTCTTTTTCTAGGTACTAATTTGTTTGTATTTGATATTTAATAATCTAGCGTGATTAATCTAAGCATGATTGATGATCTAGTAGTACTCCATAGAATCTTGTATGCACGTGTAAATGTGTAATCTTTGGTTTGTTCAAATTAAAGAATTATCAATTTGAGTGTTTTGACTTATAAATGAAAGGTTTATTAAGGAGTTCATATGTGATCAATAGGAGTGCGTATATAAAGACTAATTTTTATGATCAATAGAAGATGTTGGAACATACTTGTACACCAGTAAACCAATTTATTTATTTAGGCAGACTATTATGACTGAATCTAATCACTTGCAAGAATGATTCTTATTCTTCTAGAATTTCAAACGTTTAGTTCTTGTTGAATATAGAAGTATGAAAGGAACGACTCAAAGATTTCAACCCATTTAACAATAGAAATTGCCGAAGATAATAAGTACAAATTGCATTCTTAATTCATAAATAATCTATAATTAGTCGTGATAACAATTGACAAACCATAGGTTCTATAGCTATATTAATATATACTCATATATTGCCTATATTGGTAAGAATTGATATTAACAAAATAAAACAAACTCGTTCTCGGAACTACATAGACATATTATTAGGGTTGTTTATAGTTCAAAACCAACTTTTATGAAACATGAAACACTTCCTATATTCATTTTAATTTTGAAAAAATTCACAAAATTTAATCCGAAAGTGTTGAAGATAAAGATCTTTTATAACTGACTATGCCAAGATTAACTTAGCTTAGTTGTAATCTCTTGTGTATATCTTATTATTAATAGTCTTAGTCTATCATAAGCTTAGTGTATATCTTCTCTATATACTTAGCTATTGTAACCTACTACTGTACGCCTATATAAAGGCTTCTCATATCTCAATGGAAATTAACAAGCTTTCCACTATTCATTCTTAATATCTCATAGAAAGCATGGATTATAACTGTCTTTATTACCATAATATTTCAACGTAAACTATGCTTCTTAGGCCAAACACTTTAAATCTTAAATGTCTATAGTTAAAAAAAAAAAAAAATTATGAAAGTATATATCAAGATGAATCTAGTAGGACCACACACAACAATTTTTTTTTACCGTACAAATCACAATATATGGTTAAAGAGAATATATGAACATCATCAACAATGTCAACATTGCAATATTTAAGAAATGACTAGTGCTTTTTTGCTCGTTTGCATTTATGAATATCTTATTTAAACATAAAAAGTCAAACAAAAGACATTCTTTTATGGTAATAGAGACGGAGGCAAGTAAATCCTACCACAACACAACAAGAAAACATGAATCATAAATTTGATTTTGGGTTCCCTTGGTAATAATTTCGTACTTTGGTGTTCATTACTTGGTATATAATTACCAAAGCTACATTATTATTTACAAAATTGCTATTATTGGAGTAAATGAATGTTGAACTAAAAAGGCGAACCTATGAATGCCAGAAATTTGATTCGTTGTGGTAAATAATTGACATGTTGTTGTTATTGTTGGTGTCCTCTACATTGGTTTTGGTCCTTCAATTCTTGTTATTGTAGAATGGTGGGCCCATTTCCTCACGAGTGGAACATCAATATTATAGTTGCTCTTTTCTTTTTTTTTTTTTTTTTTTTTTTTTTTTTTTTTTTTTTTTTTTAACAGAAGATTCATTTAACGAATCAATAATATAGTTGATGTTCTTTTACTCACTGCTCTTTTGCACTGTTGATTCTTCTATCTGGGTAAGATCTACTTCGTATTACAGTACTCCTTAATTTGTTAAGGATCAATCTATCCTAGACAAATTATTATGTACGAGATTTTTTTTTTAAGATAAAAGGGTGAAAATAGGAAAGCTACGTCGTTTTAAGTTGATCATGGACCATGCATGGTCCCATAACATCAAATAATATAGTACAAAACTGACCCTTAGCTCTAGTTTCAGATAAGGAGGGTAGGATAGAGCTTAAACTTAAGAAAATGGCAACATTACATTTGAACCCCCAGTCATTAGCCCTCAAACTTGACAAAAAACTCACTAATATCTATCCCTATGCTTCTCGAAATAGCTTCAATTTACCAATAAATGCATCACTAGGAGGGGGAAAATCAGGAAAGCAACTGATAGAGTCAGGAATCGTTAGAGCGATCCCTCCGAAAGAAGCTGCCATTGCCTTGAAATCCGATGGGTTGAAGCTCTTGGATGTGAGACCTGAGTGGGAAAGAGAGAAAGCGCGAGTGTCTGGCTCACTGCATGTTCCGCTCTTTATCAAGGACACAGACAACTCCCTTATTACCTTGCTCAAGAAATGGGTTCATTTGGGGTACATTGGCTTATGGACTGGCCAGAAGTTCACTACCATCAATTCGGAGTTTGTGTCACAAGTTCAACAGATTGTTCCTGACAAGGACACCATGCTCCTTGTTGCCTGTGGTGAGGGGCTAAGGTAAAGTGTTCAAATCTTTGATCATCTTGTTGTTCTTATGAAGCAGTGTTTTGCCTCTTAATTAGTTGCCTGTGGTAATTAGCCTGACTAGTACGTGTACCTTATTCGTTTCACTGTGACAATGTGGAACTAACAGGTCTATAGTGGCGGTTTCAAAGCTGCATGAAGTGGGATACAAGAACTTGGGATGGTTGGCTGGAGGATTTACTCGGGCTAAGGATGGTGATTTTCCAGTTGAAGGGGATGAGAAGTTGCAATATGCCACCATTGGCGGTGTATCATACTATTTTCTTAAACTGCTTACACTATTACAAGCAGCTGACACTTCTAATTGAGTTATTAATGAGTTCAATATTGTCTTGATTTACTCTGCTACAACCTCTGCATACTGATCTAGTGTGACTGACATCCAAACAATAGTTGTAAAAGGATTTAAAATGAAGTGTACAATCAAAATTGCTAGCATGACAAACTTGGGTCAAAAACTCAAAATCCACAAAATGTAGTGCCTGAAGCAGAAGGCTATACAAATTTAGCTTTTTTCAGTTTGACAGTAGTATTTCAGTATTATCCTTTAGTATAAAAGCTGGAGGAATATCAAAAGAATGAGCAAAGAATGAATGAAATGTACAAGGGTTTTTGCTGCGAAAACATACTGTGATATTCGGCTAGGTGATGCTATTTTGCTTTCTTGATCAGAGTAGATGTAGTGAATTCAGCATCATCACAGACGAAGCTCCACAAGATGTAAGTGAGAGGTACAGAAATGGCTTTCCAGAAGGCATGTGCATCGATAAACCCCTTGTAAGGAGGAAAGTCGATTATCTCCAGAAGTAATGAAATGCCTCCCCCGACAACCACGACCAACAGCTTCCAGCGTGATGGCTGATGGGAACGAATGGCACAGATTGTCCAGAAAAGGAGCTGTGCTGTAGCTATTACAACCATCACCACCATGTTTAGGCCTGCGACATTTTACATTCTACTTTAAAGATATACACAAATATGGAGTTGTGAAATTGTGTCATGTTAGTCAACCAAGAACAAGATTATGATGCAACAACAACAACAACAAAGCCTTAGTCCCAAAATGATTTGGGGTCGGCAATGGGAATTATTTACCCTCTTTGAATCATCTTCTATTTTCCAGAAATATTTTCCGTATAATTTTAAGGTGAAAAGAAAAACCACAATGTATCATACAGTCACACAGACATGTTAATTAGACTCACCATAATCAAGTTCTACCAGGTTGAGAAAGAGTATATGAGTAGTCACAAATGCAATGAGAGGAGCAGCAACCATCACTCTGGCAGCCTCAGTTGTAACATTTAGAGATCGAATTATGGATATAATGAGTGAAAACCCAAGAAGTGCCACTCTTGAAGAATAGTACAAGTTCTCTGTTAATTCCACGTATCTGCAGATATCAGAAGCTTAGAAATGTACAAATAGCCGATAAAATATGACAAATAGATTATGAATGGAAGTAGTAGGAATCAAATCACTGTACCTGCCATGGAAAACAGCACTCCAAAACCAAGAGTTCATGGATAAGATCGCATATACAAGCCATAAACCAGTGTATTCATAATAACACTTCCGATTTGGCTTCAAAGGCAACTTGTAGTAGAGAAGGATAAAGAATGATACCCATCCATGAAATATCAAGCCAAGAATAATCAGTGAGAGAGCGACAGAAACAGGTTCCTGCACTCACACATTATATAATCCATTAATTCTAAAAGTAAGACGTGGATTTGAGCTTGTACACCCTTTCCTTTAATAGCATAAGTTAGGCAGGAAGAATGAAGAATCAAACCCCAGAAGGTACCAAATTATGCACATCTCAACCAGTCAACCGTCACAACCATCCAATGAAATTAACTCCATAGTCACATCACCTACTACTATAAGTTATATTACAACCACAGCCATCCAAACGACTACCAAAAACATGTAACCATTAACCATATGGGATACTAACACATCAATAGTTCTACCTGGGGTTGGATTGTTTGGAACCTCCCGAGAAACCATGTAACATTTCTCATTTCAAAAGAGAATCCAGATTTCGAAAGAAAATTAATAAATGATATAGGTAGAGAAGGAAGAACCTGAATGCCATAAACACGGTGAAATGGCCACTTCTTATGATACTTGATGGGTTTGTCTCCAAGTTTTGCTCTTTCTTCCTCCCTTGAAAGCATACAATGGTACCTGCAATCACTGCGACAATCCCACTCTTTCCACCGGAGATAAAGTGGTTCTTGGAGATACCATGGGCCTTCAGCAGGTTTATTGTCAAGGGAGACTCCACAGTTGTTGAAGCATTTATTCTGAATGCATCCAGTCTTCTGACATTGCTCTACACAAGTTCTGTCAGGGAAGCAAATCAGTTCCATATAAGAGAGCAAAGAAAGACATGAAGAGTATGAGAAGACAAAATTAAATCTAAGCAAGTATTGCTCCCGTCTTCCTGTTATAGTGTTACTTACAGCGTCATCTCCCAACATATCTTAAATATACCTACTTAACAAGCTCAATTCTTGCCTGAAGCATGCTACTAATTGCAAAGTAGTTACATCAGCCTAGTGTAGATACAACTATAGTGTCTAATTGTGGTTAATCTTTAACTGATTTAACACACATACACCAATGCCATAGAGAAACAGAAGTATTTCGGATTGTACGGAAGTTAGCATTAAGCATCAGCTAGCTAACCAATCACTCAAATCAAAACGCAAACAAAATCTGTAGCTCACTAGTTCTTATCTTAAATCAACAATCAGAACGCAAAAGAATCAACTTCATAGGGAATTACCTTAAGGGAAGCTTACCAAATTCCAAAAACAATGCCAAGAAATAAATTACATTCGCGATATCCTTTACACAATTAACACAATGCCAAGAACCAAATTATAGATTGATATATATACTCCCTCCGTTTTCGAAAGTTTGACTCACTTTGCAATTGTGCGGTCTCCGATGAACAACTTTGACCATGAACAACTCCGGTTGTGTATAAGTGAAATTTGTAAAAAGTTGATATTTGGATTATTTATAATAAGGGGAATCTAATATGATCTCATATGCTAATTTATTTATATTGTATAACTCATAAAATGAGGTCAAAGTTAATTTATTTTGACCACATGAATAGTAAGTAAGTCGAACTTTCAGAAACGGAGGTAGTATATATATATATAACCAAATTATAAATCAAATAGCCCAAATTATAAATGAACAGGAACTAAGAAGTAATGAATTGAAAACGATGATGCACATTAAACATTGATCAAAACTTAACTTCAATAGCTCATCACAATCACCTTGAACTCATTAAGATCATTAAATGAACCAGATTTAAATGAAAATCTGTTTTTTCTCAAAGCACAATCTATTGACTAGTCCTGTTTTAGTGTTACATTGTCACATTCCTTCTTCAAAGTGGACCATCACTACCAAATTTCACAATAATATAATTTTTTTTCTTTATGATTAAAACTTTTTAGTTCAAAATAATCAAATACTTGTTTTTTAAGTTCCTTCGTTTTGTTCATTCAAAAAAAAAAAAAAAAAAAAACCTCCTAGATTTTTATTATTTTTTAAATTAGTTAAATGGGAACCAACCAAACAAGAAACAGGCAAACACCAACCAAATAAAAACAATTTAATCCAATCCAGTCAAATCCCACAATTATTGACAAAATTAAAACAAACCACAAAATAATTTAACATACTCATAATAATAATCAACTTACAATAAACAACTATAAAAATGATTAAATTATAACAACTGACATACTTGTAAATAGGATCACAATCTCCAGAAGTAGCAAGAATGCCTCTACTCAGAAACAGCAAAGAAGCAAACAAGAACACTGACCCATCAAACAGAGCCATTTCCAATTCCTTAAAGATTGGATATTTAAATGGCAAAGATTTTGCAAAGTTCAAATGGATGAGAAATTGAATTGAAAAATATTGCTGAAAATTTAATGTCTAGAAGTTTATGAAAAAGAAAAGGTTGGAGAAGTGGAGTAACAAAGAATAGTAAAGACGTGAAGAAATTGTTGTATGACTCAGTGACTCGGAAGTGAGTTTTATTTGTGCAATTCTATGGCAATTGGCACCTTCCTAGTTCCTACATGGTCCGTCTTAACATGCGCTTCGTTTTGTGTGGGATGCTTTATTGCTTTGTGTTTATTCTCTCCTAGACTTTTACTACTTTGATAAAGAGAGAATAATAAGACCATAGGTGTTGCTAAAGCCTAAAAAGGTGGTCAATGGATTGGGTTAGCCTAGTACCGATCAAGCTAGTGAACGGTGAAACTGAGTCGAGTTTCCAAATAAGTTGGCTCGGTGTGAACCGTCCCACTTATATAACTCAACCCATTAAATACAAGTATATTTATCATAAAATTAATATCAAACTTGGTTAAGCTAGTGAATGTAAAACAAATTAAATCTACTAAATAAATTAACTCGGTGTGAACCGGCTCACTTGTATAACCCAACCCATTAAATGCAAGTATGTTTTTATCATAAAATTAATATCAAACTTGGTTAAGCTAGTGAATGGTAAAACAAGTTAAATCTTATAATTTGACTCGGTGTGAACCACCTCACTTATATGATCCAACCCATTAAGTGCAAGTATGTTTTCATAAAATTAATAAATCAAAATCAAACTTGATTAACCTTTTTCTGATCATATTAAAGTTAATAAATTAGTTTAATGTCTCAACCTAAAATGCAAGACCTAACTTGTAGCTAAGGGGATAAGGTGAGAGTGAGAGATTAGCTCAAGTAGTTGGAGCTCCCCTCCCGATTCTAGGGGATCTTAGGATCGATTCTCATCACTTGTGCATGTGGCTCTCCAAACACCAAAAAAAAGAGGGGGAGGGGTGTGAGGTGCCTCAATATAAAAATTGTTTCACAGGAGTATTAAGTACAATCTATAGGAAGAATATAGGTGAAGTAACGGATTATTGTTACATGCTTACATCAATTGAGAGGCGGTTAAAAAAAATGATAACTGTAGGAATAGTAGTTTATTGTTACATGCTTACATTAGTTGAAAGGCGGTTAAAAAAATGGTACCAATAGGAATAGTAGTTTTTCTTTTAGTTTATAGTTTGACTATTGCTAAATTAGTCATCCTTGCGTTGCCCTAGAACATCGTGCACTTGATGATGAACAACGACCTGAAAAATTAATATCCAAACTTTGAATCCAGTGGTTCATTATTGATTTCTTTTTCTCTTCCATCAAAATTATGTCCTAATTTTTGCAGTTATGTGCATATTTTGAGAACTTTGTCCACAATTTTTATTTCATTCTTTAGGTACAATTGTACATTACACATATAAAATTATATAACCCACAAATTAGCGATTGATTACACTGAAGAAGATTGCAGTTCAGCACTAAGATTGAAATTCAACTGTGCCAAGCAATCCTCCTGGAAATTCTTACCAATTCAAGAAGTTATCACCCAAAATTACCAGATGCACACCAAGTGTTCGATAAAATGCCAATATGAGCTAGTCAATTTGTCTCTGCAGTCTCCAGGTAACTTTATGTGCAAAATTCTTGTTTATTGTAGTATTGTGATAACCAATTAAAATACCTTTTGGAAAGTGTGTGTCTTGTGCCTGGAAGAATTATCAGATGTCCTTGAAGGGATGTGCCTAGAAGAATTATCCGATCATTGTATTAAGTCTTTTTTTTTTTTTTGAAAAGACGGTTGAATATACGAGTACTATAAATCCTCAAACTTTCCAACACTTTAGTTGGTTCGTGATAATGATCATCTACCTCTTATAGTCACATAAATGTTAATGTAACATAGTAGAACAAGCTTATTTGAAATGAAGTCGTGTCGTGAAAGATCATTGCCCCTGCCCTAATAACTTTATGCTCCGTAATCTAAAATTGATAAATCGTTATATTTGGTTGCCTATCCTGTTTTCCATTGTGGCATCTCTGTACTACAAATTTCCTTATGAGACGCAGTGAGTACCAATCAACTGAAAATGCAAATAATTTCAGATATACACTTATATAGTTATATACTTGTATACAACAACAATCCTTTGAAATGCATGCTAAATAAAAACAAAAAATGATTATGCATAAAACTTAACAGAATACTCAAAGATATTACAGACTGTAATTCAAACTTAAGCCAACACCCTTTTAATGCAATGTACCTTAGACTCTTAGAGCTTAAGGCTAACAGTGAAGAATATGTCATCTTCTCAATACTCCTGATCTTCATCATCTGTTTCTGTAAACCTCAATATGACATGACCGTTTGGATCTGGGAAGGGTCTTCAGTATACTCCCATCTTTTGCTTAAGCCTCTAGTTTACATATTAGTCCACGACTCTGGAAATTGCACCTCATCCCATGTAGTAGTACTTTCAGTCCCAGTAGTAGACATGGGTTGAAAATAAGTTGTTTCTCTCCTAATTGACCCCCTTATATCTAAGGTTATATCTGTTGATGCCTTACACACTACCCTGTATGTTAATGCCAAAGGTACTCCACTCGTCATAACATTTAAGGTAAGGATCTCGCGATCTTTCCAAGGGATTGTATAACCGGGGCAGCAGTTAAAATAGAAGGGACCTTGAGATAGATCTGATTGCACAACTGATAACAAAGATTGCTCAAATTCAACAATCCTAGCATCTGTAAGACACACTATTACTGAATCTCCTAACCCATAACTCATCAGTGGCTTGATAGCTATTTGGACCAGACCGAAATGCACGTACCCATTGTTTAGAAACTTGTTAAAACCTTTTAGTAATTTAAGGGATACATTATGGTCATTTGCTTTCAGTGATTGTTTTTTCAAAATCTTTTACTACAGAGCTTGGAAAAACACTCAATTTTTTTTTAGCTTTTGACCAAAAGGAGGGACCATAACCATACACAGATACAATTTTATCATGAGTACGATTGTACACTTCTATGATGGGTATTTTAGGGTATTTCCAATCATCTAAGTTCATTTTGATCGGTGAATTGTCTCCCTCTTCATTAACAAGCTTAATAGCCATTGATCTGCCCTGAAATTTAAGGATGTAACAGGATACTGAGTACAATGTACTACGTCCGTAGTAAATAAAAGTAAGATTTAAGAACTTTTTTTCTAAAGGAAATTCAATAACATAACACTATATAAAATGACATTATTAGCATCCCTATTTGGCCTAGCTAAAGTAAACTTTGGTTACCTGTTGAAGGTCAGGGCCATCTGGAAGAATTTCAAGTGCAATCCCATCTTGTGCTTCAGACTCCTGTTTACCAGTCGAAGAAGATTCATGGACTTTTGTCACATACTCTTCCCATTTTGTTGTGCCATTTGCTCCAGTAGCCGGCTGAAAATAAGCTGACTCGCCCAAAATCGGCTCCTTCAGTGCCTCTGGTCTTAAGTCCAACATAGCTTTACACACTACCCTGTATATCAATGCCAAAGGTGTCCTACTGTTCAAAATCATGATTTCAAATGAAGAAACATCAGCCAAAGAAAACGAAAAACTCGGGAAACAGTTAAAATAGAATGGACCCTGAGATAGATCAGATTCTACAAGTGCTAACAAAGAGTTCTGGAAGTCAAGGTGCCTAGTATCTCTAAGGCACACTGCTACTGGAGTTCCTAAGCCATCTCTTATTAGTGGCTTGACAGCTATTTGGACCAAACCCAAGTGCAGAAACCTATGATGCTCCTTAATGAACCCCTTTTGGAAGTTGCAAGAAAGTAATTCGAAGGATACATTCCTGTTATTATCTCCATCCAGTGTGATGGTTTCTTCAAAATCTTTGACAGCATAGCTCGGAAAAATCCTAAATAAATTTTTTTTGTACACTTCACCAACAGGGATCGACGGAAATTTCCAATTGTCCAGGTTCTTTTTAGATCGGAAGCTACTTTCCCCTAGCTTATTAGCCATTGATAACCCCTGAAATTTTATGACAGAACAGATTATACTCTAATACTCTTTTCATTATACACAAGATACTCTGTAATACATTAAAAAAAACAGCGATAAACAAAGAGAGTATTCCTATATGGCTATTTGCACGTTCTGTTTGTCAAAAAAATTCAGAAATATCATTTGTCAAGAATTTCAGAGATATCATATGGAGTAGAAGGGTACAATATCATAAAATTTTACTTTAACTTTATATTATATGATTTGATTTTCTTATTCTTTGTCTCCAACTGTGTTATATTTTAATGTAAAGATTATCCCAATTATTGTCCTTGAGATTGATTATAGTAATTAAAATGGTCATGACTCATGAGTTTATCATTCTTTAATTTCCTTGCTTTTGTGATATATTAATATGCCCTTCTAAAGTCATTTTGTCAAATTTTAGTCTCCTTGTATTATTTTAAGCGTGATATTAGAAACATTTTAGTGAGAGAGTGTAACGAATGTTGACTTTTCTTCCTTCTTCAATTATTCAGTGCGTTACTCAGCTAATGCTTGCCAGAGAGCTGAGAACGTCACTCTACTAAAAGATATCGAGAAGATTTCAAAATCCGCTTTCCTACTGAGTGACATTTTATTGATCAGTCTTGTCATCTAATATCTCCACAACATTATATATGGTGTATGCCATAAAATAATGATTTGACATTGTATTATTGTCTATTAACTTTTGACAACAGAAGGAAAATTATTATGATACGTACCAGAAGTATACTATATGTCTTAACACATGCTGTGGCTTATTATTAACACACATGCTAAGCGTTAACAAATACAAGGGACTGCAATAATATAACAAAAACAAACTTAAACCAGCTTATGCTAATGCCTGCTACTCTAAATTGTACAGAATCTGAAGGAGCACAAGGGCAATAATTGATAGATCTTCCTTCTCATCACTACTCATCCTCGTCTGCCTGTCTAGTTGATGGGAACCTTAACATCACACGGCCGTCTGGAAGGTCCACGGCTCTTGCATTATTCTTTGCTTTAGGCTCTGGTTTACGAGTCCACGACTCTGGAACTTGCACTTCATCCCATTTAGTGGTGCTTCGAGTCCTAGCACCAGGAAGAAAATAAGTTGTTTTTCCGAAGACCGGCTCCTTTAGTGCTTCAGAGCTTAAATCCGGCATTGCCTTACACACTACCCTGTATGTCAATGCCACGGGTATTCCTCCAGTCATGACATTTAAGGTAAGGACTTCAAATGTAGCAGCATCGGCCAAAGAAACTGAAAAGCTAGGGAAGCAATTAAAATAGATTGGACCCTGAGACAGATTTGCTTCCGCAAGGGCTAACAAAGAGTTGTGGAAGTTAGAGTGCCTTGCGTCTCTGAGAGACACGATTATTGGAGCTTCTAAGCCGTCTCTCATTAATGGCTTGATAGATATTTGGAACAAACCCAAGTGCAAATACCTATGTTGCGGCTTCCTGAAGCCTTCTAGGAATTCACTAGAAATTAATTTTAGTGATACATTTTGGTTAGCAGCTTTCAGTGTGATAGTTTCTTCATGATCTTTTACAGCATAGCTTGGAAAAATCCTAAACATTTTTTTCTTGTACAATTGATCAATGGGGATTTTCGGATATTTCCAACCATCAAGGTTTTTTTTAATCTGGGAACCACCTTCTTGTTCATTTGCAGGCTTAGTTGCCATTGATCTGCCCTGAAATTTATTACATACTAGAAATAATGCCATATCAATACATACACAAAGATATAGAAATAAGAATACAAAAACCGAAGTTTTTTAAGTTACTAACTCAGCTTAGAATATATTGTCACGTTGATAGAGTAATTTGATTCAGTTTCACGAGAGGTCGGCCAGGGAGGTGGTGGTCCTGGCAGGCTTGGAGGGGGGACGTGGGGGTTTTAACGGGGTTTTCTTTGGGTGTTAATTGCTGAAATCTTATGAGTAAGATTGCAACTGGATTGGCATGAAATTGGCTTGTACTTGGCCCCATTTATAGATGAAATTGGAGTAAGAAATCAAATTAAGCTTTAATGGTGATTGGTTGATTTGGGTGGTGCATCAAATGGTTGAGAAGAGTGTGATGGTATTTACTTGATTAATGATAAATTGATGTGTTTTTCTTCCTCCCAAGCTCTCTTCAAATCCCACTCATATTAAGACTAATTTTTTTTTTTTTTTGGAATTGTGGCAATTGCATTGGAAAATATCAAAATAATCCGTAATTGAATTGTGGCAATTTTTTTCTTGGGTTTGTATCCAAAGTCTACTTAATCACAATTTTCCTCCTAAATTTCCTTCCTAAAAGCATTAATAAGCTTGCATTGGAATTTTTTTTTTTTGACGAGATGCATTGGAATTAGTTAAAAAAGCTTGCATTGAAATATCCAAGGATGGGTCTTAGGCCCTCCTCTTTTGGACTTACTATAATAATAATAATCCATAATAATCTATTAAGTTCAGTTCAGTTCAGCTCAAAAAAGGGCTCTTGTTAAACATAATTATATATCTAAAATATGATTTTCAATGAAAACATTTTATGTAAGGACTGATGTGTTATATCTAAAATCCATCTTTGGCACAGAGAATGGGAATTGAGTCAAGACGCTTCCAAGTGGCCGTGTAATAAGGTTTCCATCGGCTAGAGAAGCAGTCTAAAGAATATTGGGACAAACCAAGGGATGGTGAAGAAATTATGTGTAGTACAAACTAATAACTTGACATGTATTGCCTCTAATCTTTTGACAATAATAGGAAGTCAGGAACATTATAGATACACATATATAGAAGAATTATTATACTTCTACGGAGTATGACTTAACACATGATGTGGCTTAAAACACATGCTAGGCCTCAAATACAAGGGACTGCAATATACTTGTTGTTTGGGTCCAATTTAGTCCAATTGGGCCTAGGCATTAAATGATCCAATTAAAAGCCCAAGGTCAAGGTTCAACTCTCCAATTGTGCTAAAGTCAAAGGTCAGCCCTCAAAGCAAGCCAACTGGGCTAAGGCCCAACCTCTCCATGTATGAAGAGGTATAAAAGCCATCAATATTCATACATTCAGGTATGGATTCACAGATTCATATATTCTCATAGATCCCCATACATTCTCATATATTCAAGCAAAGCCTCAAGCAACTAATTCTCTTGCATAGTGTTCTCTTTCTACACATTGTACTGACTTTAGCATCGGAGGGGTCTTCCTCGGCAACACCCCCGAGGCTAGTTTACGTGTGTTTACTGTGCAGGAAACCTTCGGCCCAGCATAACTTGGACCGAATCCAGTCTTCTCCGTTTCAGCGGACCTACGGCAAGGTCCCATTGTTTTCACCCGAAACAATTTGGCGCCGTCTGTGGGGAATACTTTCAAAAATCTTTAAGCCAAATTTCTAACCAAGATCATCTTGCAATTATCTTAGTAGCAATGGCTAAGAACCGCAAGAGCAAAAGCCTCCGTCAAGGAGCGGGCGAAAAGCCTAAAACCCCTACACCATCACCCTCGCCGGACCGGAACTCTCCCAAGGGTGCCAGCTCGGGGGGAGGATCATACAAGGAGGATTCCCTTTCTCCCGTAATTCATGACTCTCATTATAGGCCGAGTCACTCTCGGTCTAGCAGGGGTGAGTCCGATCATAGGACACATTCAGTGCCCCAAAGCCAACCATCGGCTGCGCGCCCTCATTCCCATACTCGGCCGAGGACCCCTTTGACGGGGCCCAGCTCGGAAGAGGTGGCAAGAGCGCTGGCAGTGCTCATGGAGGCGATGAGGGCACAAAATATGCCACCACCTCGTGATCGAACTCCTCCGCATACCCGGCATCAGCGGAGGAAGTTAGACCATGATGGTGGGAAGCTTCCTTCCTTCCGGGAACTGGAAGAGTGGGAAGAGGATTCCTGGAAAAATGAAAAAGAGAGGAAAAAGAACCCTCAATTTTTAAAAGGATCCTCATCCTCAAGACCAGAAGCGCATAAGAGCAGCAGCTCAGCTTCTCGGCCAGAATCTACTCACCGAGAACCTGAGACTGTTCGCCGAAGCGTCCTTGACCGACTCGGCGGCAAGGAACCGAGCGTGCGCAGTCGCCTCTCGTTCCCTGCAGCCGAGGCCCAGACTTCCCAGCCAGGGACGAAAACCACTCCTACCTCTCTAAGAGGGCGGAGCGCGGTCCCTTCGGCCAGGAACAAGGGCAAGGCCGTTATGCTACCCGCCAGTTCACCATTCGAGCAATGGATACTGGAAGAGCGCGTACCCACGGTTAAAATACCGTCGCACATCACATATGACGGGACCTCGGATCCGAAGGATCACGTGGCCTCGTATGAGACTCATATGCATCTTTGCCCCAGATCCGAGGCGACTTGGTGCAAATATTTCCCAACCACTCTCAAGGGGGTCGCGCAAGCGTGGATCTCCAAGGGAGTAAGGCAAGGCTCCATAACAGGGTGGGATGATCTGTCCTCCAAGTTCAGGAGCAAGTTTTCCACGGCAAACCGCCGAGAGAAGACTACTGCAGAGCTCATGAGTCTACAACAGGGGGAAACCGAAAGCCTCCGAGACTATCTGACCCGTTTCAGTAACGAGTCATCCAGCGTCTCTCAGCTGGACCAGGGGCTAGCCGTTTTTGCAATGCAGAATGGCCTTCAGCCCGGAAAGTTCCTAGACTTCATGGTCATGCATACCCCGCAGACCTTGGAGGAAGCTCTGAATGCCTCGGATAAGTTCATCCGAGCCGAAGAATGGAACAAAGCGAAAACCCAACCTCAATTTGGGGGAGGGAAACAAAGGCAAATACCCTTGTCTGAAGGCCAAGGCCATAAGGCAAAGGGAAAGTCAAAGGCCTCGGAGCAATCTTTGGCCAGCGACCCAAAGAAGGAAAGATCGGCCTCATACACAGGCAGATACGAGTCCTACACTCCGCTCTCTCTTCCACGCGCCAAAATTTACAGCGTGACGAAGGAGGAGCAGAGTTACCGAAAGCCGAGACCACTCCCAGAGTGGTATCAGCGAAAAAATAAAAATCAGTGGTGCGAGTTCCACGAGTCTTCGGGACACAACACTGAGGAGTGTATCCAACTGAAGGACCAGATAGAGGACATGGTCCGGAAGGGATACTTGAAAAAATACATCGCGGATCACCGCGAGAAAAAAGAATCCGAGAAGTCAGCAAAGGACTCTCGGCAAGACCTCGACTTCCCCCGGAAAAACAGTAAAAAGCCGGAGGGGAAATTCCCTCCGATCAATGTTATCTCGGGAGGAATATACTCTCGGAGGGAGCACAAGCGACACCTTAGAGCTTTGACTCACCAGGTGAACAACGCTGACATTCAATCTCCCCAGTCGCCGGTGCCGAACATGACGTTCACAGCCGCCGACTGCCGGGGGATTACATTCCCTCACGAGGATCCGTTGGTGATCATCGCCACGGTGGCCAACCACGACGTCAGTAAGGTCCTTGTTGACGGTGGCAGTGGAGCAAACATTCTGTTCCGAAAGGCCTACAATCAAATCAAGCTGAAGCCCAAGCACCTTACGCCGGTACCCTACCCGGTATCCGGGTTCAATGGGGCTTCAACTTATCCATATGGGAAGGTGACACTTCCTGTCACCATCGGTTGCGATGAGGCAGCCAGGAACGTCATGATTGAATTTTTGGTCATCGACGCTCCTTCAGTGTACAACGTGATTTTGGGGAGACCCATAATTCATGAGATCCAAGGGGTCGTCTCAACTTATCATCAGCTGATGATTTACGTCTCAGACGCCGGCTTCCCCGAAAGGATACAGGGCAACCAAAAGGACGCCCGAAGGTGCAACTACCTCAAACCATCCAATAGTCGCCCAGATGACAAGGATGAGGAGGAGAAAGAAAAAGAAAGAGAGCCGAGCACAAAAAAGCCGAAAGGCCTAAGTACTTCGGCCCAAGGATCTGTACCCAGAGGTAAAGGGCCCGAAAGGGAAAAGGCTAGCTCTTCAGCTGAGCCGCAAGACTCAGAGAGCCAGCCGAAGAACAAAAAGACTGGGACACCTGCCGACATTGGCAGCAGGCCAGATTATGAAGAGTCCAGTCCATCAGCAATGGACATGGACCAACAGACTGAAACAGTTGAGTTGGCCGAAGGAGACGTTGAGAAATGTGTAACAATCGGGATGGACCTTGATCCGAATACCCGTTGTGAACTTATTCAGCTCCTTCGGGACAACAGAGATGTGTTTGCTTTCTCGGCAGCTGATATGCCCGGGATAAGTTCAGACCTCATCTCCCATAAGCTTAATGTTGACCCGACGTGTCGACCAGTTAAGCAAAAGAAGCGGAATTACTCCGCCAATAAGAACCGAGACATCGCAGCCGAGGTCAAAAAATTGTTGGAGGTAGGATTCATCGAACCTTGCCAATATCCAGAATGGCTGGCAAATGTGGAGATGGTTCAGAAGCCTAATGGTACCTGGAGGATGTGCGTTGACTTCACGGACCTAAATAAGGCTTGTCCAAAGGATTTCTATCCCTTGCCGAGGATCGATCAGCTAGTCGATTCGACAAGTGGCCATGCCTTGCTTAGTTTCATGGACGCATTCTCGGGGTATCATCAGATCTTTATGCACCCCGACGATCGAGCAAAGACAGCATTCGTCACGAACGCTGGGGTGTACAATTACAAAATGATGCCCTTCGGATTGAAAAATGCGGGGGCAACCTATCAAAGGCTGGTGGATCAAGTTTTTGCCGATCAAAAGGGCCGAAACATGGAAGTCTATGTTGACGATTCGATCGTCAAAAGCAAAAAACCAGAGGACCATGTAAAGGACCTGGCTGAAACTTTCGCCACCTTGAGAAAGCATCAAATGAAGCTGAATCCGAAGAAGTGTGTCTTCGGCGTGAAGTCAGGGAAATTCCTTGGGTTCATAGTCAGCAAAAGGGGGATTGATGCCAATCCCACTAAAGTCAAAGCGGCGCTCGACCTTCCTGAGCCGAAAACGAAGCGGGATGTTCAGCGGCTCACCGGAAGAATGGCAGCCCTCTCAAGGTTCATTTCCAGAGCTTCGGATAAGGGGTAACCTTTCTTCAAAGCCCTGAAACTCCCGAAAACAAAAGAGCTCGTTTGGGAGGAAGAGCAAAAAGACGCCTTTAAACAGCTTCGGGAGCATCTGGCTCAACTCCCAACGCTGGCTAGCCCAGCTGAAGGAGAAACTTTGTACCTATATGTGGCCGTTAGCCCAGCCACCATCAGCGCAGTATTGCTGAAGGAAGAAAGTAAAAGTCAGCAACCGATCTACTTCGTCAGTCATACGCTGACGGATGCCGAGACTCGCTATCCTCTACTCGAGAAAGTTGCTTTCGCGGTAGTAGTAGCTGCTCGGAAGCTGAGGCCCTATTTTGATTGCCATCAGATAGTGGTCTTAACTGATCAGCCGTTGGAAAAAGTTCTCGGCAAGGTTGAAAAATCTGGTAGGCTAGCCAAGTGGGCTTTTGAGCTCACCGAATTCAGCATCAGCTACCGTTCGAGGACTGCCATTAAGGCTCAAGCTCTAGCGGATTTCTTGGCCGAATGCTCATACCAAGAAGCGCTAGACAGTGAAAAGAAAGTCTGGACCGTGTTTACGGATGGATCTTCCACCGAAAACGGTTCGGGGGCAGGAGTAGTGATAACTTCTCCCGAAGGCAAATCCTTTGAGTATGCACTAAAGTTTTCTTTTAAGGCCTCGAACAATGAAGCCGAGTATGAGGCAGCAATCGCCGGCCTATAATTGTGCATCTCCCTGGAAGCCGATCATGTCTGCCTAAAAACAGACTCTCAGCTAGTTGCATATCAGATCAGTGGCAGCTACGAGGCCAAAGAGCCCTCCATGATAGCTTATCTTGCCAAGATCAAATCAGTC